TTAATTGTTGGATTAATGGAGAATAATTCCTCTGTCATAAGCTTATCAAGAGTAATTTAGTATAAATTGGTCACATTTAGGCTATTTAATCTTATTGAAGACATTTTCTTCAGGTATTCATAATGTCTTTGTTGCTTTCAAGAGGGACTCTGTCAGCTGAGCACCTCAGTCAGTGTAAAGCTGAATGTTCAGCTGTAGACAGTGCAAAGGTGTAAACTAATAAATGAAAGCTTAAAGAGAGTTTCACCTTGTTTTCTTGAACTTGATTGTTTGTCCCAAGCAGTGACCTGTATCTTGATTCTCTACAAACTGTTTTAGTTGAGAACAGTCATCTTTCAGCTGATCTTTGCCACTAATTTATAAAGACTTAATGTACTAATAGAGCATCCCCATAGAAGTCCTTTGTTGTCTGACCCTTCAGTTTGAGGGTGAGCTTGCATTTGGAGCTGCGTTCAGAAGCAACAGTACCTTGACCATTGCTTTGTTTTAATTTTTAATTATTTCTTCTTGTTTTCCTGCATCTCTGTCGTGCTTTTTCCGGTTTTATAGTAAGATAAAGATGTTCTTAGTTTTCATAAGGATTTTTGGGTGCAGTATTCCTGTGTTCTGTTTGTCTTCCTTGAGCAGCCTGTGGAGTATTTTTGATGAGCACAAAGTCATCTTTTGTTATCTTGTCCAAACCAAACTTAGTTTATCCTTTATTTTATTTTGCCTGGAAAGAAATATGTGGACAATCCGGTGGCTGAGAATAATTATGAAATATCTAACTTGTTCTTTGTAAGACAAGACATTATCATCTAGAGAGTGGAATTTGCTGGGTTGCTGAAGATATTGAGGGCAAGGTGAGACTCCATATTCAGACTGTTTCCTTATCAGGTCCAAGATTCTGTGAAGGACAGCAGTCCATGTACTTTTGAATTAGAGGGAAATGGAAAATTGTATCTCGTGCTTTGCCAATAGTATTTTTGCGCACGAGGCCAAAGCAAATTTCTTCCCATCTCTGTAAGATGGGTGTTTCCATGCTACAAACTGGATGTGAGCACCATATGCCTGTTTTTAGAGGCAGTCATTTCAACTTGCACTGAAATTTCTGCAGAAGGAATGTCGTTATGTGGCAACCCTTCCTTCTAGTTACTGACTGAAGGGATTCTTAGAACTAGAACTCCAGCAGAGAAAGCATTTGTGGTGGAATTAGGTGTTGAAGTTTATGGGAGTTTTGAATCCACCAAAAAAAAAAAAGAGAAAGAAATGAAAAAAGTAACAAAGAACAGACTGTGTTTGATTACCAGGCTATAAACCTTAGCATGCGGTGCATAAACATGGAGGAACAAATTTTCTAACAGGCTGGTGCTATTGTGTAAAAGTGGATTCGAGCCAAACTCCCAGATTTGAAACCCCATGAATTTCAGTAGGCCCGGGCCAATCCTTGGCTTAGGTTCATCTCAAACATTGCAAGCACAGAAAACGTGTTTGGACATTGACAGTAGCAACTGGAGGTCCAAAAGGGGAAGGTTTGTGCATAATCCGGTCGCTGTTTGCACACGCAAGGGGCATATCGGTGCCAGTATGAACATTTGTCCCCCTGATCATCCTGAGATCAATTTTACAGCATCTTTGAAAACACCCTGCAAGGAATGTTTCTGGCATGTATCCTCATTCCTTGAATCTGTTACCAACTTACCTCTTTAGGGGGAAGAGTTTTATATGACTTCTCTAATTCTACCCAAATAATGAGTCACTTGCTCATTGTCCTCACCTCTGTGGTCCCCTCTGACAGCCCTTTCCTGTCACGACAGCTGACATCAGGTTCCTGGGTCACACAGCAGGTTCCTGCTCTGAGGACAACTGGTTTATTACAGGTTGAAGCAACACTGCCTTCTGGATGGGGACTGTAGTGGGGAGATTTCAACAAATTATCAATTATACCCAGACCAACTGTAGAGATTTACGTGCTAGTTCTAATAAGCTCATTGTTTGCTTTCTCCTTCGCAGCAGAGCAAATCTGGTTTCCTCCAAGTTGTGCAGCTGCTGTAAGTGGCAATAAGACAGCAGTGTCAGTCACAGCAGTGCTTCTGCTCCCAGGGTTGTGTCTGGAGCTGGAGAGGAGAAAAGTTTAACATGAAAATGAACTACATGCAATTACCAGTTTATGGGGAAGCTCATAAGGGATCCAGCTGGTGGTGGCACTGGGATGTTAAACTCTTCTACTGAAGGAACTAGAAGAAGAAATAAAAAAAAATACGTGCAACTTTAACGTCAGATGCATTTCATGTGCGTCCTGTGGAGAAACTTAAATGAGCATTTATCATGGAGGATGCAGGAACACAGAGATAAGAATATTTTATGGTTCTGTGACAGAGCTATCATCAGAACATGCCACCTCCTTGAACTGCGTGACACCGAGATGCAATTTATGCCATTTTGCTTCACTTAGTCTATTGATCTATAATTCTCTTTTTGGTACAATTTGATCATAAGTTTCTAGTATGAAATGAGACACAAACTGCTTGTTCTTTGTCAAAATCTGCAGTCTATTGTTAGAGCTCTGCAAGGTTAACACATGCACGATGGACTATTGGAACAAGCTGCTGAGAGAGCTTTGTCATAATATCTGTGCACCAAACATTTCTCTGACTCATCTTCCCAAATACCCCCTGCAGTGATTTTGTAAGTCAGGGCAAAATTTGGACTTCTATTTGTTATCTGGTACATATTTCTAAGACGCTGCCAAACAAAAAACTATGTTTAAAAACTCTGTATTTCATTGTTGGGGGTTCCACACATGCCAAAGGAACATGTGTCAGCAATTCTAGACTTAGTGGCCACGTAATTGTGAAGTATCCTTTTTGTTTTTGTTTTTTTTTAATAGATGTTCTTGGATGATAAAACCAGAGAAATTCTTATTAGCTGCTTGAGTTACATTTACTGTCACTGCTTTTTGATTAATATTAGTGTCTCTTCAAGAATTTATACTGGAATGGAAAAAAAAAAGTTCACAGAAAACAACTTTTATTTATGTGTATGACAAAGTTATCATTTCCAAAGAGAAAAATGCTTTTAATGATTTGATTTGACTGGCATGCTTACATGGACAGCCACTGGGTCCTGTACATGTATACTGTCTTCATTTGCTTTGTCATGTATGGCCCTCATTTGTGAATCCCTTCTGCCTGATGATACTTTATTTTTCTAAACTGTGTGATTTTTGAGGGAATGGGGAAATAGACTGTGGCTTTGGCTATAGAAAATAAGACAGAGAGACAGACTCCAATGCAGGGAAAGGAAGCATGTTTGAACTTCAGATCCATCCTAAATCATGGGTCAGCGTAACTGAGCTGGGAAATAGGGTGGTATGATTTCTTCCCATCTCACACCTGAATCACAGACCAGTATTGATATATAGCCCAGTGCTCTGAATTGAAGCATCTTTAGAAATTGTTCCCAAGCTTGTTAACTTCTTAATCATCCGAAATACACCTTGGGGATACACCAAATGACCTGTTGCCAAGGATGGCTTTCCTCCAGAAAGAGTTATCTGGAGCATACTTTAAGAGTAAAATGCTGCTTCCTAGTTCCTTATCTAAAACATTTATCTTTAAACTATTGTGTAATGATTTTATTCTCCTTCATGGAGGGAAGTAAATATTTAAGGGTAAAGTAATTCTGAAATTGGTGTTTGGCAGTAGGATTATTTCATAACTTAATTTTTGGACAGAGACTTTTAAGTCAGTCTGGTGAGGAGACTGAATGTATTCTGCATGATTTCTTCAGTACAGACAGAGTATGGTATTGCTGTAAACTTGACTGGTTATATCACAGTAAAGACTTAGGCTTATATAGTTTGTTATTGAAAGATACCCACCTTAAGCATGTTGGTTTGCTCATGGCCTGATGTCATCAGCACTGGTGGTTGTTATTTAGTTGCCCAGCAGCTGTTCCACTGCATTTCTCTTGCTCGCTGTCACTTCCATGGCTGCCTCCAGCCTTGAAGCACCATGGACCTGAGCCAGTGATTCATTTCTAGTCTGTGCAAGATTTTATACTCATCTGTTATACATACCTGTTATCAACTGAGCTGTAGATGCAAGAGTCCATTCTGTTAGATCTTCTGTGATAAACAGAGGATTCTAGGTGACAACTAGTACCCTGCAGTCACTGATCTGAACCTATCTGTAGTAGCCACTGCCTTCTGTTTTGAGTGAAAAAATTAATCTGTTACCCCCTTTCTACCCCTGCTTTTTAATAAAGACTTCCCCAAACCTACAACAGGGGTGCCAGCTCAGTGGTCCCTCTTGATGACTTGGTAGATGTCTGCACTTTTGAGTGCTGTGCCCCTGGTGTGTGATTCTGAGGTTTGTAGTCAGCAGGGTCTGGACATGGACCTTGCGTAGATTCGTGTTTCTGTTTGGTGAGTCAGATCCTCTACCCGGTCCAGCTGAAAATTATCTTCAAAAATACTCTGACTTGTCAGGTTTTTATCACCTATGAAAGGGCCCCACCACAAGTGATATGTCTCATTATCCAGAAGAAATGTGCTTCTCACCATCACAACAGCTCTGGCTGTGTGAGGTGCTGCTGTGGTGGGAGCATTCTGGATAGGCACAAGCACAGGGAAAGGGAGCAGCTGTCAGGGGAATGGCACAAGTTGCTTTATCCACAGTTGTGGTAAAGAGTGGAGCAGATCAAGTCAAAAGCTATGCCTGCTGTCATTGTCTTGTCTGCCTCCAGACATTTGACTCTGCCTTGGAAGTTGGTCTTGGGCCAACCAAGAGAAGAGCCATCACTGTTGTGACTCAGAGTCAGCCTTGCTGAAATCGTTAGTGAAGCCAGCACATAACTGATCCTCCCCTCTGAGACCAGGATCAAGAATTTTTGTTGGTACTTTTTTCCCCTAACTGGGCTAATGGCATTCAGCTTATGAACTACTTGTTATCTTAGTTTCTAGTAAATGGAATTAAATTTATGCACTGAACACCAGTTGCTCTCCCTGGCATTTCTAGGACGAATCCTGGACTTGAAGACTGGAACAGTAAAGAAAGAGGGTCAGCAGTCCTCGATGAGAATGTGCATGGGATCCAGGCGCTCTTTTATTTGCAGGATGAGGTATGCATTTACTTTGGATTCCATGATGGTTCCAGTCCTGCCTCAGATTAGACTTCAGACCTTGGTTAAAAGCTAAAGCTGTAATGACACACTCCCATGAAGCATTTCTAGAATGCTTGCTTTTGGAACTGGAGGAAAACTGGAACCTGTCTTCCTTTACAATTGATGGCAAAACAGCACCATGTTTGTGTGTTGTAGTTATTCTTATCAGTGTGGGGTGCTTTTTCCAGAGAACTTCATGACCACTTAACCCCTGGATTGTTAACCATTGTCTCTTCCAGTTAAGTTGTTTGAATCAATCCTTTAGGAGCAAAGCTTTCGCAAGAGTAATGAAAGCCCAACTCTGTGTATTTTTTCAGCAAACCAATAATATTAAAAGAATTTTAAAGATAAACAGGAATTCAGTTGCAAACTTGCCAGCTATGTAGGAATTAACCTAAGCCTGGTATGAATTACCAGATGTCAGCTGGCTGATACTTGATAAATGAGTAATTGTTAGAGGCTTTTTAATCTGCAATTTTCCAACCTCTCCTTCAATGCTTGGGCTTCTTTAAAGATACTTGCCTGCCTAGTGCTTTTCATTGGGGCTCATGAGCACTCCTGTTGTTTTAGGTGCTAGCAGGCTAAAATGCCTGTTGCTATTGCAATAAATTTCCGTCTGTGTGGTTAAGAAGGGAAAGTACATAATTGCATCTGCAGCCTAAATGCAATATATGTGCTGAAAACAGCAACTGCAAAATTCATCACAGAGTGAAAAGCACAAAGCAAAATATTTGACATATTAAAGTACAGATATGTGTACTTTGGTTTTGTGGTGAATTTGCTTTGTCATGTGAGGAGGCTGAATGTATGGCTCTTGGGTGCCATTGAAAGGTGTTTATACAGTCTATACTTGCAAGATCAGACCACAGATAGAGCACCTAGAGCACCTTTCCCTTATGACTGGGAGGAAAGAAATTCAGCTTGGAAGAGCAGCACAGGGAACTTTTCTTTTCTTTTTCTTCCTCCAAGCTGCACACACTGATGGTGGTAGGAGGACATTTTTGTACACAGAACACCAGGCCTAATGTCCTGTTTGCAGTTGTTCCCCGGCTTTCAAAACACCAATTCGCATTGCAGTTATTTCTTAGCACTCTGATTCTATAAACTCCAGTGCACCAGAGTGATTTTACACGTGCCAGTAGCCCCATTGTTTTGTAATCCTAAATCTTATTTTAATTGTTCATTCCTTCTCCTTGGCAATGACTGAGAAGAAAAAAAAAAGGGGGGGGGATGGGGGGAATTAAAAAAAAAACCTTCTGGGAAGAATGGGCCTCAAATAGTTTGAACTTTCCTTGTGATTCTTTCTTTCACTGTTATTATTCCTTTTCCCATTGAAAATGAACTGCATTTACCCTTCAAACTATTTACTCAGCTTCAAATGGATTGTTGAAATTATACAGGTAGGCATGGTTAGAAATATCATAAAATACACATGAATAAGTGTTAACGTTTCTTGACAGTGTACATATTTTGATCTTGCAAACATTAGTTTAATGTCTATTGACATTGGAGCTGGGGTATGGCAGTCAAAATGCTCTGTCCAGGGGAGCTACTGGAAAACTCAGATTGGTTTATGTGGATATTTGGTGTCCTGACTTATGTTCTTCTCCAGTTTTCACCCTGGTTTTATGATATTTTGGAGAGTGTCTATTCTTTAGCCACTCTTGGAATATCAATTTCAATTAGTTTTTAGGTTGGGGTAGTGGAGAAGGGAATCTTTTTCTAGTCTCTTCTGTTTTTCTGAAATAGAGAAAGTGCATTTTCATTGTGAGTATTTGTAGCACTCATTTTTGAGTCCTGTAAACTGTTAATCTACTTTTAGGTGCGGAAATGCTCCTCTGGATCACTTACCTCTGAACAGAATAACCACCATGAGAAAAAGATACAGGTACTATTATTTATTTTGCCACAAACCAATTAGTTGCCATCAGCTCAGTGGCAAATGGGAGTGCTCATGCTCACTCCAGGAGTGCTACCTGGATAAACACCTGCGTTAGCACACGGTGTAAAACAGCCCTGGGGCTGGGGAGGGAACTCGCCACTAAATTCGGCTGTGGGGGAGTCACTGGACCTTTTTGCAAACAAAATCTTTTTGCACGTCACTCAAATTCTTTTATCTTAACCAGCTCCATCTCTGAATTAAGGTTCAGTATCTTTCTTGGAGAAATATTGTGCAAAACAGGTAAAGCTTGAATACCAAAGTAACAGAGCTGACAGTGCACAGAACTCTAGGTTGACACTTGGTTGTTTCCAGCATAACTTATAAACATCAGTAAGTATTTACTACTAATAATAATACAAGTCATTGGCTGTCATAGTTTAAAAGCACAAAGCTATTCTGCATGTCAATCAACATGATATTTTTGTGTTTCTTGTTCACTTAGGAATGGCCTTGGCCCAGTGAAAGAAGGAGAAGCACAGTATGCTGTTGTCCATTGCACTGGCTATATCAAGGCGTGGCCACCAGCAGGTGAGTGTCTCTCATTGAAGGTGTCGTGCAACACACTGTCAGTGACAGCTGAAAACCTGGCTTGGGTTTCTTTGCTTCTAGAAAAACAGGGTGAATTTTAGGGGGGATTACCAGTTAAATCTTGTCTTGAGAAGCTCTTGATAACAATAAATCAGCTGTTGTTATTTACTCAAGGCATCCCCATTTTCCATGTGACACCCTTCTCAATTTCATTGGCACAGAGCAACTGTAGGTACTGTCAGTAATGCAGGATTCCAGCAACTGGGAACAAAAGTTTTCAACCTGATAAACCAAATTAAAAATGTTCTGATTTGAAGAAGGTGGATGCAAAGCATGTGTACCTCTAGAAGACACCAGCTAATACTTTACACTTAAGTACTGAATTGCAAGCATCTGTGTATGAAAATGTGTAATTCTAGTTTAGGCACATGGGTTTTCACATGCTGGTGTTACTTGAGAATGTTCAGTATTTGTGATAAATTCTGGTTTTGAGGCTGTTTTCTTAGGAATAAATCTTGGCGTATTGCTTTGAACTACAGAGAAAAACATTTACCTGCTGGAACTCAGTATTACATATGGGAGTATTTACCTTTGAAAAATTCCAAGAGAAGAGACAGAGGAGCTCATCCAGACATGGTTATGAGCGGGGTTAGTTGACCTTGGCGTTTGCAGATGTTGAAGAGACTGTTTGCAATGTGACAGCGCTGCTGGCATGAATCAAACCAGGAGCTGTCCTGCCCTTTTGCGGTCATGTACCACAGCCATAAATTACATTTATCCAGAGATGATGAGTGCTAAGAGGTGGTTTGTACCAAGTCTGTGCGGTGGGGTGCAGACAACAGCATGCAGATGTGAATTTCTTGTTAGGTTTCTGCAGAATTGGGAAGCAGAGGAAAACTTCCCCCTCTTGATGCTAATGGGATTTAATAGGAGTGAAAATGTTTCGGTTTTACTTCTGTCTCCAAAGAATGAGAGCACTATGTGTGTCAAGTGCTTGAAAATGGCAGAGTTTTTTCTGTTTTGTTTTCTTCCACAAAAAAATTAACTTTTTTATTGGTAGTTCCAAACATAATTGAATTCAACCTTGATGTACTGGGTGTTTCTTCAGGAAGGTGCAGGTCAAATAAGATTTCTCTCAACTCCTTGCTTAGCTTGAATGAGAAACTTGCTGCGTGCTATGGGATGTTTAAAGACATCTGACACTTTAGGGTGTATGTTGCTAGTGCAGAGCTGCAGATGCTTGAACTAATATCATCAGTAGGTTATGACATCGGTGGTGTGTGCCCTTCAGGCACCATTTCTGCAGGACAGCAAGTATGCAGTGCAGGAGTATGGGATTAAAAGGATCTTCTGGATCTTTGAGTGCCCAGTGGCCAGGTATCAGTCACACTGTAAGTTCCAGTTTACGTTAGTGAGATGTTTTCCCTGTCTCCAACTCTTCCAAAACCCCACTGCTTTCCCATGCCTAACAACCTCTTTAATTTTCAGTCTTCATTATTTTATGGGAAGTTTTTATTTCACTGAAGGTCAAGTGGGAGTTTTCCTGCCTTGTGTCTCTGTCTCTCTCCAGTGTTCTGGTGCATTTCCAGAAGGAGATCATATCCTGTCAGCCTGGACTTAGCACAGATAATCCAACCCACTTCTACTCTCACAATGCATTCTCTTTATCCTTTTGACTTTTCTCTGCACTTGTTTGTGTTTTCATATCCCAAAATGCAGATCACTGGCACTATACACTCTTGTTTCAGAGAAGGTTGTAGTGGTGTATAATGCAAACAGTATTTCCTGTCTTGACTGGCAGTGTATGATACAGCATCCTTCTCTTTTCTGTGGTGCATCCTGCTGGCATCCTCAGCCACCTGATATGTGTACCAGCCTGCCTTTTCCTCAGTTGTCAGCTGCAGATCTTCTTGCTTTGAACTGTGGGATGTTTCAATTAGTAATACCAAGTTCCATCCCGTTTCTGTTGCTGTAGCTTATGACTGTTATTAGTCCCCAAGTGCATGCTTATGCATTTAGTAATGTTGGATTTCGTCCCATTTCTGTTACTCCACTCCTCAAAGTCACATGGTGCTCCCTTATGATATCCCAGTGCTCCTCCACAGTGTTAATATCTCCAAACTATAGCACGATCCTGAGGGATGTTTTCGATTTTGATGGCCTTGTGTGGAATTTCAGTGGTCTTTTATGTTGCCATCCAAATTTTTACTCATATTAGTCATGACTGAGTGCCTTCTTCAGGGCACATAGTGTTGAAAATTGGGGCCTTTTTCATGAGTGTTTATTTGCCTTCCCAGTCTTCCCTACTTTGTGCTGGTGATTTTCATGCATCCATTGACTTTCAGAGTTGGATGGTAATATCCATGGGCTGAATTTTTCCCCTATATTTTTAGGTAAATAAGTGGCAACATACTGCTTTCTTCTCTTTTCCTGTGGCAATTCTGGTGTGTATAATCTGCAAAGCAAGTGAAATAACTGCAGCAGTAATGGAATTTGTTAAGCTTTTCTACCCTGTAATAAAATTACATTTGTTCAAATAAGTTAGAGAGCAGCAAGCCCTGGCCATTGCATCGTCTCTGGATTCTTGGGAATAAGTGGGCTTGTGCTAAATCACCACTGTTTAAAAATTCATCTGTGAAAAAGAAAATTTTCATTTATTTTTCAGTTGCCAAGTGGGTACTCTAACATCAACTTCAGATCCTTTTCTCTCAAAGCATGTAGTGTGGCATGTGCATTGTATAGGTATTATACAACACAAAACATACTTTCAAAAACAAAGTAACAAATATTTAGCAAATGCACTTTTTGTTTTCTTTTTTCTTTTCGTTTTCATTTAGCTGTGGAGGATAAACCTCTCTTTGACTTTAGAATTACTTCAGGATAAAAGTCTCCCCTCCCTCTACCCTTTCAGGGCTCTGAGCTCACCTCCTGGTCATGCTGACCCTGACTTTTGCCCTCCGAAATTATTTTTGCCTCTGCTAAAGTTGGCTGTACCATGCACGGGACCTGAGCTGCCTTCCAAGCTCAGATCCACACCTGTTGCCTTGCTCTGTGCCCACAGCTGGATCCACATGGGCAGTGGAACACAGAGCTCCCTCAGGACTGGCATCCCCAGTCTTTTGACAGAGGTTCGTATCATTTGTCTTTATTTTATTTTACATTTCCATGTCTGTAGGGCAGACACTTTTAACCTTTTTTCCCCTGGATTTATTTTAGCTCTGCCATGAGCATCATCTGCCAACTTTGGTGGGAGCAGGTAGGATGTCACCTGTGCTGGGCCTGTAAAGGCTGTACGTGGTCCCAGGTGGAGTGCCTGTCTGGCCTGGTGATGCTCATCATCTGACACAGCAGTGTCATTTACTGATGTCTGGCAGCAGCTAGCACAGCATTTTGTTCCTGAAAATAAACTAATTCCCAAAGCCCTCAAAGTACTAATTTCTCTGTTATGCACCAGCTTGGCTAATAATCCTAATGGTGAATGGCTCTGTCATGTCCTATTCATTTCCTTCAGCTAGCATCTTTCTCCTTCTTAAACCTTCACATCCCTTTTGCCACAGTTTGCCTTGCCTTCCTTCCCTATGCCTTTTATGTCCTCTTTTCCACCTCTTCTTCTCCCTGCTGAACTCCTCTCTTTTTCTCACACTTTCCATGTCCTACATGTAATTTTGCAATTTTTACCACAGAAAACAGTTGTACAGCATAGTCACATCTCAGTTATTTCTTTGTGTTGAGGGCAAGTAATCATGCTGGAATAAAAGGACAGCAAAATGTGAGTTTACAGTTTTGCATCTGATACTGACTCTCAGTTGTCATCTACTCAGACAGTAGAAGAGTTTATGTTGATCTTTGTAAAACTGTTTTATTGAAAACATTTATAAATCCCTATTTTATGACAAGGATTTGTTTGCACTATCACTTAAGTAAAGCACCATCAATTAGATCAAAGAGACATAAGTAGCCTATCCATAAACTCTCCATCTTAAAACTTTATGTTTTCAATAAGTAACAGACAAAGCCGGGAAGGAAATGCTACTGTCCCACTTTTGCTATTTAAATAAGTAAAAAATATTTATGGACTTTGAGCACATATAGGACAGATCAGAACTCTTCTTTCTTCCCATGGTTTTGCACCAGTCTGAATGCATTATTCAAAGACCTGGGGGCTTTGGTGGCAGTGCCACACTGTAGAGTTTCCAGCCTTGGAAACAGAGCCCATGTCACAGAGCAAAGTCCCCAAATTCATGCCAACACAGTAATTTTGGGGGCCTCTTAGCAATCAGGACACTAACTGACTAGAAAATAGTATTTTTATTGTACTTTGGGTGAGTGACCCTGCTTGCAGTGCACTACAAACAGTTGCATCGGCTCATCTATAGGGGCTGAGCCATGGGTTGGGAAGAAGCAACCAAGGAAAGGAAGAGGAACAGCACTGATGAAGGTTCTTAATCACTTACTCTGTTCTTAACCTCTTTTGTTTAGCACTTGTTATTTTCTCTTTCTGGGTTGAATTGCGTTGTCTGTGGCCAGTGTATAGTTTTTTTAGTCCCACACTGAATATAACAAAATCAGTGGTGATACAGAAATATCAAGAACTGCTCTCTCATCATTATTAGTGTGACAGACTATCAGGTTTGACAGTTCTGCTGCAGTGAGGAGTCTTTGCAAATCTGAAGTAATCTGGGTACTTCAAATAGATAAAAAAGATTAAGCTACAGACAGCTGGCACCAGTATGGTGGCATATTTTAAGGTCTGGGTTTGTTGTGTTATGGCTCTGTGTTCAGCATGAAAACATTTCGAACATCTCACCTGCCGTTTTCGTTTTTCTCATTTTTGTGGAGCAGCAAAGCTCAGGTACTTGCAGACTGCTTTTAGCCCCTTTTTCACTGAAAAGTGGGAGAGAAAACATAAGGAAGCATCACACCTCATCCTCTGTTCAGGCTGTTTGTTAATGGTCCATTCATTTTCCTCCACAATGCCTGAAAAGAGAAGAGTAAAACCAAGATCAATCCCACATATGATACTTACATGCCTATATCCCCATAAATTATGCATTGGCCTCAAGTAATTGGGGTAAACTTTGTGTGGAAGTCAAAGGAAAGAAGAGTCAGGTAATCCAGATGTACATTCCAGCCAGTTATGTTGCACTGTGAGATTGAATAGTGAGAGCACAGCGTTGGGTTATTTTGAATGAGGTAGGAGGGTCGCTGGTTTGGAACTGGCTGAGCACCAATTCCAGCCTTTGTCCCTTTGTTCCCAGCAAAGGAGCACAGCTAGAACTTGTGATCCTTAGCCTAGACAGTGCTTCAAATTCATAACCAGTCACAAAACCGAGAAATACTGACCTTCTCTTGATTATTCCATTTTCAACTTAGGCAAGATTTGCTTTTCTGCTGTGTTTTTTCCCCTTTGAACATCTCATTCCTGGAAGGAAATGAATCTTCTGTGGTCCATATGATATTTTCCTAATAGGTTGTTTTTTTCATGCCATAACAATTGATGGAAAATATTTGGTGTAGAGAGAATATACAGTTTGTCAGGATGTTGGTTGTTTTCTGTAAATCAGAGCCAGGACCTGCAGGAAAGCACATAGTGAAGAAAAGGCTTAGATAGATACTTGTTTCAAAAACTTTCAATAAAGAGTCCCAAAATAATGTCAAATTCAGATAAGGTTGAAATATTTTTTTTCTCTTTAGTTGAAAAAGAAACATTTTAGTCTTCCAAGTCAGACTTACGGTAACGTCTTAACCACAGCATGCCGAAACTGTGAGGTTATTTTTAAAGTTTTGGCCAGAGTCTGGACATTTGTGCAAAGCAGTCCCTTCTTCCAATACAAAACAAAGTAGTTGCATGAATATTCCTTGCAGTGCCATCATTTTTAAGGCTCTATTTATTTGTTTGAAGAAAGTAGACTTTAGTTTTTATTGGGATTTTCCACGAGGTTTTTTTTTCCCTGTTATGCGTTAAACATGCACAGCTTTTCTTTGTATGAAAGCCTTTTTCCATTGTTGTGCATCAGAGATAAAGTCACACAGTGCAGTTCCATCCCCAAGCAAGTAACCATCGGAAATGATTCTGATGGAGACAGGCGTTAGCAGGTCATTGCTAATGACCTCTGGACACTTAAATTACATCTTTCTAAAGTCTTGTAAAGCATTTAATTTTTAGTGTAGTGAAATAAAACCACAAGTCTACTAACACTTTTCTGTGTCTCACAGAGAATATGGGGCAGGAGGCTAGAGGGAAAAAAGGCAGAGTATGAAGCTGTCCTGTTGTTAGAGCCAAGTGGAAGCTCATTGGGAAAACTAAAAAGTTCCTTATGTCCACACAAACACATGCCATTGCCCTGTGGGAAACTGTTTGCTGGCATAAAGGACTCTTGGAAATTAAATATAACCTCTGACGGCACCACATTCTATTTGTGATGCTCAGTTGCAGGCTTAGCTTTGCAAATTGTTGATATTAACTCGAGCAAGCACAGCACTGTATTTATTATTCAAGAGGAGTGTGTATTTGGTGTTGAGAAATAAAGCCTCTCACAGGGTTATGCATAAAGAATGTGAATACCTAATGTATGTTTATGTTGTTGATGTCCCCTAAAGATCAGTTTCATGGCTGCATTCCTCCAAGCTCTTACTTTTTTTAGAGATAATGACGGTACTTGGCGGTGTCCAGGAGCAAAATTACATTATGTTAAGAGCTGGACAAACTGGTATTAAGTGCAGTGCACACATCTTTATTTATCTGTCCATACTGGATTGTGTTCAATAAGAAGTGTGCTAAAGCAAAAGTAAATTTATTCTGCGAATGCATCCTCCCATATAAGCACACCCACAGTTGAATCTTTGAAACTACCAGCAAAAGAATAAAGAAAACGATTTCCCCCTATGGAATGCTGCCAGTAATGGCACCTACATTGCAGAGGAGCACACAATCATCCTGTCATATTTTTTCTCTAGGCACCTCAGGGAAGGGTTAGCAATCCCCTGGGTTATGTATTGATTAATTCCAGGCAGATTGGTTTTTATTCATAGAGTGTCTTGTGGGATAACCCAACTAATACATTTTCCAGTGCGTTATACAGTCCAAATGTAATCCACCTTGGGGAGGAAAAAAAAGAAAGGGCGGTGAAAATTATAACAATAGCCTCCCTTTGTCAACAGAGTGACATCAGAAATAATGTTTCTTAGCTAGGTTTAATTTTGGAGATTGTTTATATTGCTTTGAGTTTATTTGAGTTTATTTGGGAAATAGCAAGCATGGACCAAGTTCCTAAAAATGAAAGCATTGTTGAAAGCTGCAGGACAAAAAAAAGATTATGCAAAGTGGAAGCCATCCAGCTGTATCTTTGCTGTCCTTTGCAATACTCTGTGCCACTAAGGAAATAACTGAGAAAGCTTTTGAAGTCAAGGGAAAATACTTTAAATTTGTCCTTCTCAAATGAAAAACTCCATTTAAAAGGGATCTTTTGGTTAAGGTTATCTAACTGCAGTGCCTGGAGTTATTTCCTTGAAACAGCTCTTGTTAGGTGGGACAATAATGTTCCTCTGTAAAACGCTTGAGATCTCTTGATAAAATCCTAGTTATCAGTCGGGGGCTGAAAATGAAGCTGTGCCCCCCAGATTCTGAAATGAATTGCAGGACAAGTTTGAATATATATACAGGAAACATGACAGGTTTTCTTTCATACACTGTGTGTTTTATTTTATTACATAGCTCAATGAGGACCAAAAAACACCTGTAAATGCTATTTGCAAGCTCATTGTCAGATAAGATTCAACTATTTTGATACAAAATAGCTTCCTTAGAGACGATTTCAGTTCAGTCAGCAGCATTTATAGTCATTTTTCAGAGGTGTCATTTAAGGAAGTGGTGTGTTGTCACCCTCTGCATGGTCCAGAGATTGACTTACATTGGGGATTATAAATTTAGAGAATAAATTAGCTGTTGTTTTGTAATTGATAGCTGCTTTGCAGTTAATTTCATTAATGCTTGTAAGTGCCTCTTAAATGATTCACTGCCTGTTGTGACTGAATTACTTGAAAAGCCTTGTGAAAGAGTTTACAGATCACTTAAAATAAGTCAGTGGTGTCACTCTTAGAAGTTGTTTTTTCTGCTTTATAGGAAATTGGTATCTCAAAACTGGAGTTGGGAAATAGCCTTAACTAAAGGCTTAGCCAACAAGCAAGTAAACAGTGTTAATCTGGATGTTCCTATTTGTGAAACACTTGAGATGGAAAATAGTACACATGTATGTTTTGAAATTATTCCTGTGTTTATAACAGTTACTCCTGTTACTCAACTGAACAGCAAAGCATCCGCATTTTTTCAGTCTTTCAGCATAGCGACCCAGATTTAGTCCATTATAGAAAAAAGTAATACCAGCTGTTAGATATGAGCATAAAATTAATGATTTATTTAGGCTGTGCCTTGTTTATAAGGATCATTATAATATATTATTCACAAAGGAAAGTGAACATAGTGTGCATTCGCTGCATTCAAGTGACCTCATGGTTCCAGTAACATGCTCATGGAAATCTTACTGTCCATCTCAGTGTATAATGGAATTTTAGTATCTGCTTTGTCTTCAGCAGCCAGAATTGCTGCCGTGGGTCCTGTGTATGCATGTGGAGTATGTAGGGTTGAGCATAACTGGAAAGATCATCTGATCTAAAACCAGAAATAATGAGTGAATCCTAGAGAAGAAACTAAAATTATTTTGTATGATTTAGATCATCTAGAACGGTATAAAACCAGGTCAGCAGCATCTACTTTTATCCCAGTTTCCTAATTGTAACAGTATTTATTATCATTTACTCTAGGAATGACTATACCAGAAGAAGATGCTGATGTGGGACAAGGTAGTAAATATTGCCTCGTGGCAATAGGAAGGCTTCAGGTAATGCCAGTCTTTCCTTATACAAGCTATTTCTGAAAGCATGATCACTGTTTTGATTTAGTTGTAAAAGATTTGTGCTATGTTTTGGTACTAAACTGTAAATTCTAATGTGCCTCCAATATATAAAGTGCCTTGATGTCTGTTTGCACTCAGTCACTTTCAACAGAGCAAAATGAAACTGTAATTTTGGTACATATGTGTACTTACTACAGTTAAGAACAGCAAATATGCTCCTGAAGATGAGTGTGTACAGATCTGCCATTTTTTTGTGGTGTGTAGGGCTGGGATATTGCAGATAGTGAGAAGCATGGCAGTACAGGTGCTGTAGACGGTGGATTAAAGGGGCTCCCAAATCCAGTGATATGCTCTGTGCCATTTTTCCATTAATTCTGTCTCTCTCTGGCTAATCAAGTACTTCAAAAACCGTGATTACAGGAGATATTCTGAAAATGGCAAAGATAAGGTAGTCAAGAGGCACTTCAGAAATCACAGCTTTATTCTCAGTATGTGTTATGTTGTGCATTCAGATGAGATGTCAGCTGAAGGAACTGGGAGAATAAAATTTTTACTTACATTTTGTCCAGACAGTTGCAATCCTTGTAGTGCATTTTCTTCCTTTTTTCATCCCTGACAAGAGCTCAGAGCAGGAGCTACAGCAGCCGTGGTGAATCTCCATCACCACGGCAGGGAGGCTAATTTTTATCTTCCTGGTCTGGGAATTCTGCCACGAGGGAATGTGTTTGAGCCTCTTGCATGATCTCCTGCACTCATTGCCATCTGCTGGGATGGTATCACTCCTTCAGAGGAGAGGTAGAATGACCTTTCATTACAGCACAGGTGCCAAGCCCATCTCACCTGAGGTGAACAGCCTGCCAGTGTGAGCACTTCTGTAGAGTGGGTCTGCATCGCCATGGCAGAGCTGCAGAAGTATTGCAGGATGGTTTTTAGGTTAATCATGCTTTCATAATCAAGAATAATATATTCCACTAACGGAGAGAAGGAAGTTAGAGGGGATTCATATGTTACAGCTGCCAAAGGAAGATGATTTCCAAGAAAATCACATTAATAATGTATAGGGAGTGTCAAAGCATCTGTTATGTCAGAAGAGCCATCAGGGTATGTGAGGGAGGGCAAGAGGAGGCTCTGTGGGTGGGTTAAATCACAGAGGAGTCAAGGTGCTTAAAAACTCTGTTGAACTTTGTTCTCTAACAGCGGATTGAAATCTTGCACACAGTTAACTGGCTAATCAGCTTCAAGACAGCAAAAAGAAGAGATTGTTCTCATTTTACATTGGTACCATTTTAGCAGAGACAGCTCTGAAAGTCTTAAGAAAACCGATGGTCTCATTTGTAACCCCAGTAGGACAGAATGGATATGAAATGGCCTGATTGAACAGATTTCATGCAGAGAGCTGGAAATGCATCATTCTCTCTGGTGAGATTTGAGGAACGTTTAGAGGACTGTGTTTTTTCATTACGAACAGGCACTTGCTGGCATAACATCCCCTGCCTCAGCCTCTGGAGGACTTTTCTCAGGGTCTGGGGTGTTTTGAGTAAGGTTCACATCACCTGAAATGTGGGTGTTTCGTCTGAGCAGTCCTGTTGGATATGTCTACAGATAGTGTGTTGGCTTCTTCTAGAGACTGACCTTCCTATCCTAAAATGGGAAGAGTTAATTGTCCTCTGAAAGTCTGTCATTCTTGGTTGACGAACATGGGAACAAAGGTGCCTAATGTGCTGCAAAGTGAGATGAATCCAGCTGGACTTACATCCTTACTATGTCCCTCCTTCTTGGGAATTTCTGGATTATTTGTTTTTCTGCTGTGCTGTTAAGTATAGAGGGATGTCATGGGGTGAGGTACTTGGTCTGCAAACTAGACTAAAGGATGTTCTGTGTCATTTATCTGCTGTTGTTTTATTTATGACTTCCTTCAATGCTTAGCAGTCTGCCAACAGATTCTGTGCCTTAATTATGTAATCAAAGTTGACTTGAGGTGACTGTTCTGTGGACTTCCTTGGTCCCAGGTAACCAGCTCTCCAGTGTGCATGGACATGAATGGTATGTCAGTCCCCACGGAGTTCCTGTCTAGGCACAACTCTGACGGAGTCATCACCTTTGTCGACCCGAGGTGCATCAGCGTCATTGGCTACCAGCCCCAGGTCTGTGGCCACTGGGAACGTGGAGAATGGTTAGAGCTAATGAAGAAAATTCCATTTTCAAACACGAAATATTTGTAGCTGATAATTCATATGCTGTGCACTAAATGCTTTTCATTTTTCTTTGCTGTCCACATCTTTTGTTTTTCCCTTTGGTGTATGGGATATCTTTTTATACCTTTAGATCTGATTAGAATTCTAACAGCAGAGTGCTCTAAACCTTGCACAGCTTTACAGTGAAGACATTTCTGTGATAGAAAGTTAACAGTGCTTGGAGAGAGTTTTAATCCTGTAGACCTTTGCTTCTGCCAATCTACTGAACAGTAAGCAAACATCATTTATGGCATATATTTTCCTTTAGGCTTACATCTGCTCCTCTGAGCAGGAGGCTAGTACAGAACTGAGCAGAATAGTAAATGAACTCCTGACTACAACTCTCCCTCAGATAACTCCCAACAGTTGCAGTTTAGAGGCAAAAGTAATTTCTTGTTCATTAGTTTTTCAATTTATTTTGATTTTAGATAGCTTCATAATAATTATTTTTACAAAAATTAGTGCCGTAAAATGAGCTGTAGTAAAGAATGTCAAGTCTCTTCAAGGCACCATTCCACAGTTATTAAAAAGCACTTCAAAATTTTTTGTACATACATATATCTGTGCAACAGTACAAATATAATGTAGGACATGATGCCTGCAAACCTTGTTTGATTCATCCCTGGTTAACTGACCAGTCACACTAAGGGTGGTAGACCTGGATTACTTGCACATCTGCACATGGATTTTTGTTGTGGTTTGGGTTTTTTACACAGGTTTATGTTTTGTTCTAGGATCTTCTGGGGAAAGATATTCTAGAATTCTGCCATCCTGAAGATCAAAGCCATTTGCGAGAGAGTTTCCAACAGGTGCTGTGTCCTGCTCCTTTTGTTCCACAATTCATTATTTTTGGTACTGTTTTGATTATAGAAGTGGCTCTTATTTTACATCTCAAGGTATTCTGTTATGCAGGAGGAGTGTCAAGATATAGAACAATTTGTTGGTCAGTTTAGAAATTGGTTAAGCTGCATAATAGATGCAGCATGTGTTGATAGTATTTTCAGAAATAAGTCATCTAGTTATATATTTTGTTCTTGCAAAAAATTATTTGCTGCACAGGGTAAGCTGCTTTGCAGATGCCTGTGTAGATCCCTTTATGATAAGTGGTAACTAAAAGTATTTGCATTCCAAGGTGTGTTGTTGATATGGAAGTAGTTACATCCCTCTGTTGTGATGCTGGACTATTTTTAACCTAGTTCTCTGCTAGCATAGGCAACGTGCTTCTTCATGTACTTTAATGGACTAACATCACTTTACATCAGCAGGTAATTTTGCCCTTTTCCCTTTTAGAAATTGAAATATAGAGACAAGTAACAAAAAAAGTACATCAGATAGAAAAAGTTAATAATTTGGATTAGTTTTTACCATGGGCCACAATTAAATCAGCTTTATCAATGGCATTGATTCCATTGTAGAGCTTCTCTGTTTCAGGTTGGTCTGGGCCATGCAGGAGCAGTGCTTTCCCTAAGTGCCCTGCTTGTTTCTGGGCTTTTCAGTGCCTTCACTGCAGCACTAGAACACACAACACAGGACGTTTAACTGTTTACTGTGGCTCAGTTATCTAAGTGGTTCCAAATTTTCTGACAACAGACCTATAGCTCATCCAAGTTTTGTTGGTCCATCTCATTTTGGATGCTGATATATATATTCAGCTGTGAAACATGGATATGAAATGACTTCTAAATAATTTGCATCACCAGCTACATATTGAGGCATGGCATAAAAAGACAGAGCTTGAAAATCCTCTGTGAGGAAAACAACTGAATGATGTTCAGTGTCCATAGAACAGATTGCGAAACTGAAGTTATGATCTCTACAGGAGTGTTGGAGATAGTGTAAGGTATCAGTATTTCTGAGCGATTTCTCACCATCCCCTCCTTCAAGCAGGGACTACCAGCCCCATGGCTGATTGAGTGAGTGCTGTGCATCCACTTCAGTCTCCCTTGCACAGACTGAGTTCAGACAGCAGCTGAAGGCTTTTTAAATTCAACATGTTGATTCACAGGCAGAAGCCTGTCAGAGTTCAATGCTTGAAATAGGTCACCACACCCAGACATCTTCTCTGCCCCACCTCGGCTGGGAGTATGGTGCTCCAGCTGAATCCGCCCGAGGGGTACCTGTCACCAGGAGTCAGGTCCTGCTCTCTTTCTTCTCTCCTCCCTGAGCTGCTCCCCACCCTTCCTGCTGCCCTGACACTGGCACAGATGGACTTGCTGGGTGGGCTGAGGAACAAAATGCTTTTGCATGGAACCAGCTTTCAGCTCCCTGAACTGGTGCCTGATCGCATCAGCGGCGCAGGAGCAGTGAGAACACATACGCTGTTTTTCAGTGGTGCCCAAATGATTGATTCCACTAATCTATCCAAGAGACAGTGACAGAGAGCTGCTGGATAATAGCACGCCAAACATCCGTCTCCAGTGAATCCATCCAGTGATTGCCTGGGGCTCAGCAGGGCTGACTAACTAACACTGAGTTAATGACTTGGTCCTCACTGTGCTCACTGTGAGGTAGATCAGGCCACGGGGGGCGGGCAGAGTGTCCCTGAACTCAGTTGCTGGGGACTTCCCCATCACTACTCACTGTTAGGCATTTACAGAAATGATTTGCTGAATCAGGGACCTCTGTGATTTGCTTAAGGTCATGCAAAAAGACAGCAGGAAAAAATGCAATTAGAACTGAATGCTCCTGTTCACTCAATCTGTGTCCAATCTATGAAAATATTGTGCTGTTTCTTTAGTGGGCAACTCCTTTTTGGGTATATTTTTGTTCAGTACAGTAGCAGTATGATCAGGGCTGTTACTCCAGTCATGCAATAAAAGACTGAAGTAAACAGTTAAGCTTTGCACCGGGTGGTTTTTATTTCCAAAGAATGTAAGAAAGTAAAGATTAAACATTAGCCTTGAAATTTTTTGTGCTATCTTGTTTGTGTGCACTGTTTTAAGGCAGTTCAGAATTTTCCCACCAGAGATCTCTGTACTTTATATATTATTGCAGAATTAGTGTTTGCTTAATCGAGACTTCAGGACAATATATCACTGCAGTTTGTTTTATTATTGTTTCTTTGGCCTTAGAAATATCCTAATTAAAAAGGTAACTGTGATTTCAAATAAACTCAATTTTTTTTCTTTTTTTCTTTTTTTTTTTTTTTTTACTAAAACCCTCTGTAAACTTGACACTTCTGATTTGCTGACAGTATCAGAACCAGGTTGGTGCATAACAGAGGAGGAAGGCAGGGTTTTGCAATTTTTGGTCAATTGCCAGTATCTATCTCAGACCTTTTACTTCCTTGGGAAGATAAATTCATTCATCAGGGTGGGAAAAATCAGGCCAGAATAAGATAGTCTCAAGGCCAAGACCAACAAATAGTATCAAGGGGTCTAGAACACAGCTATTGGATACCCAGTAGGTTACTATTGGGATTGCACACTTTTATACCAGCTCTGTGGTTTTTACCCTGGGTGTGGTGGTAGAAAATTGCTGATAAAAGAATGTCGCTCGGTGAACTCAAACTACAAAAGCATTAAAAAACTCCGATAAAACCAACCAAGCATTTACTTCAGTATGATTTTGAACTTTCCTGGGCTTTGCTAAAGCTTTTTGTGTCTTCTGTTTGCACTCTTCCCATTTAGTCCTGTATTCAATTGATTAATTTGAAGTGCAAACCTCTGAAAAAGCAGGGTTGGAGCATTTTTCTTAATCCAGATTCTTGTCAATAAAGAGAGAAGGTAAATAGTGGGATTTCTGCTTTTAGAAAATACAGGCTGCAGATAGCTAATAAAAAGTAAATTCCAGGTGTTAAGGATTAAGAATCCACAGCAGATGTAATATTTGTTTGCAGTAGACCTTCCCTTTCCTTCCTTGAGGCACCCCTGAGATAGCTTGGTGGAAAACCAATAAAATATAAACAGATATAGGCCAGGAAAGTGCCAGCTGAATGACTTAAAACCATGAAAGTTTTCTTCTGGCTTAAACCAAGATTGTTGGATGACACATGAAATGCAGTTACAGGGCCAGTGTGTGAGGATTGCTTTGAGTGTACTTGAGTTGGCAGCTTCTTAATTTAACTTGGTGCCCAAGCGTTGACTTGAACAAAACTTCAGCTACAAAACCCAGGATTTGAATTGTGTGTTGCCAGACATCTGAATTCTTAGTTACAAACAAACAGACTGTCCAAGCAAAGAATTTGCTCTCTTGTTTTCATTAATACTATTAGAATGGACAGTGGCTTATCAGTGTTCTCTCCATTTGAACCCTGGACTGCTCTTTTTTTCTTCTGAAAACCTGAAGAAAGTGTTTGTTTTTTGCATTTTGCCATCCTAGAGAGTCTTTTAGTGTGTTTGGTGGGGAGGAACCAACCCCTTATAGTTTCTAAAAAAACACCCCAAACAACAAACACCATTGTATTTAAGCATTGTCCTAAATTTTGATGCTGATGTGTGATTTGATACATCACATATATGAATTATATAGCTAGGTATCCAAGAAGAAAAGCAGACAGTCAACATCAAAATGGCTTTTCTTGTGGTCTATTGTTTTATCTGCAGTAATTGATTTATATGTTTGCCTATAAACATTTAAAAGATCCTCAGTTTGGTTTCTGTCACTCTCTCGATAAGTGCTTCACATTAAATATACTTAAAGTTTCCCTGTTGGGATAGCAGCACGACCTGAATGATTGTCCTGAAACTGTATCCTTTTTCTAAGCAGGCTGGAAAATGGCATTTTATATGACAAAGTGTGATGATTTCATTCTGAAGGAAATAACTGCAAACAGGAATAGGATTTTGCTTATTCTCTCCACCTAAGAATTTCTTCAGTCTGTCCTTAGCTTTCTGTAATTCAAGTTTAAAAACATACCAGTTGCTGCTGTTTACTATTCATTTGCACAGCAGGTAGCAATCTCCTTTTATTAACCTTTCCAAATGGCTTTGCAGGTGGTGAAACTGAAAGGTCAAGTCCTGTCTGTGATGTATCGTTTTCGCACCAAAAACCGGGAGTGGATGCTGATCAGAACCAGCAGCTTCACATTTCAGAATCCTTATTCGGATGAGATTGAGTACATCATCTGCACCAACACTAACGTGAAGTATGTACCTTTCCAGGTGCCTGTGTACATGGTTTTGAAAGAATTGTTAGCATTACTTTTTGCTGTAAAGCAGATTTTGATTTTTTGGTAGCCTGTTTCTAGCTAGCTTTGTTCATGTGTAACAGTAGAGTCTGTAACAGGGTTTTTCTGCATCATGAGATCTCACAGCGTAGCTGTTTCTCTGTGTCATTATCCTGAGATGCTTCCAGGGCCTGGCTGCACTGGGGGGGAAAACGTCACTTATCTGTTATGTCATTAGACAAACCCATTGATCTTGATCCAGGCTGCCTTAAACTAGCACAGAGCTTCCAGCAGCAGACCAGCTGTCCTGATACTGGAGGAAGGTTAGCCTGATTCCTAAGCCAAAAGAAAATTCCATGTCCGTGCTCACTGTGATCATACCATTCTGTAGTCCTGGCGTCTTCTGCTTGAGCTGTGTCTGCTCCTATGACATAATGAAGCTGGGAAAATTGTTTCCTAGTAGGCTCGAGTGAGGAGGGTTCCTGGTATTCAGTTTAGGTCTATGGAATATCCCCAAACGTGGGAACAATCCAATCCCTATCTTCAGAGGGAAATGAAATCGTCCTGTCTTTGCATTACTATTTTCAAAAATCTGTCATTTGGCTTCTTAGGAGGAAGTCACCCTCAGAGTATGGTGGAGTTTCATCACTGTGGACTGAGAAGAGATGCTTTTGGAGCCTCCTGAGTTCTCAGCCAGTAACTGCAGAAGTTAATCTGGCCTCAATTGCTTTATAGTGTGGGGATTTTTTAATAAATGTTTCTTCTTTCCAGTATAAACTTAATCTATTCATAAAACTCAGTCTGCTTCTGGTCTGACCGAAGATTTTTTTGCCAAGTTTTTAGCTGTGAGGAAATTACTGATTTTAAGATCCTAGCCTGTTAGACTGTATATCTATAGTGCTGAACGAGCAGTCTGCTAGTGGAGATGCCTGCTGAGAGCTTCACAGCAAACCCAAACCCCTGGGGCTTTGGCATTTGAACTTGGAAAGCTAGTGAGTGCCTCTGGGTGTTCCTTGTCCTGCTCCTTTGGACATGGCTCATACCTGAACTGAAAGGGCTGGGCATTCACTTACATGAAACCCAACGTCACATATGTTTTGCTCATTTTTTTTCTCTGCATACCCAAAAAGTTGGGCTTAAACAACTGAGTAGTTAAGGTCATTTGTATTTGCAAAAACAGGTCTGCAAATTAAAAAACCACAACTTCTGAGATTTATCCCAGGCTGGCTTAATTGTGTTTTGTTCCCAAGGGGCCACAGATGAAGAAGTGGGGCTGGAGACTTATGCTGTGTTGACTCTGGGAATGCTTTTTTCTGAGCCTGCACTACACTGTTCAGCTTGGCACTGCAGCACTCACTGTGAGCAATAGGACAGTGCCAGCTCCTGGCTCTGGTTCCATCTCTCTTGCTAGGTTTGAATAACAACCCAGAAATGCTGACCTAATATGGAAGCTGCCTGCTGCTACTTTGACAGAGGATGTTCCCTCTTTCCTGTCATGTTGAAAATGTTCTGAAATGGGCAAGATACATCCCATTATACGTCTTCTTTTGAATAGTAGAAAGAATGCATTATTCAAACTGGTTTTGTTTCTCCTCCCCCCATTCTCTCACAGTTTTCAGACAGATTTCCGAAGAGGACTTACTGTAAAGTACTGATGTTCCTGCCTGTATCTGATTTATTTTTTTTTTTTATTTTCACATTTGGGGTCATGTTTTGACTTACGATTTCCTAGCTGCCTCAGGGAGTTGTACGTCACGGTGACTGGTGGTTTCTGCCTTCTCACTAAGCTCCTTCTGGGACTTGTGGTTTGACCCCATGTGCGTGGCCATCCTTATGTGTCATTGGAAGTATCAGATGCTCAGAGTCCAGCAAGGTGCTTCCTATGCAGATCAAGAAGGGCTGGCCTTCCTCTGCCCAGCTGAAGGCAGTTCTACACAGAGAAATATTTTTATTTGCCTACCACTGTGATAACCTAGGCAGCTCCATAAAATACAGGTTTGAGGCAGTTAAAAATTCAGCATGAAATTGTAAAGACAAAGTAGCTGAAAGATCTAGGTTTAAATCAGTTGGTCAGTGAACAGCATTTTCCCACAAGACTGTAGAGGGCAGTGGTGGTTCCAGTTGTGGAGGGATTAATTGATTTTTACTTTTATTTGTTGGCTTGGTTTGGTTGTTTTGTTTCTTCTTTTTTTCTCCTATTTTTTTAATAAAGATACTCCTTTGAAGCTTCAAACAGTCAACCTTCCAAACTTGGTTTTGGTACAGAAGGATAAGGAAACACTAGGTTCAAATGTTCACTTAGTTCTTTGCAAAAAAAAAAAGAAAAGAAAACTTCTCTCAGTTTCACTTGGGTGTAGTCATCCAAGAGAAACTTCCTGGAGAATTGGAGCATTTAACATTTCGCATTTGTGCTGTGTTAGGCTGAAAAGAGAAGTCCCCCATTTGGCCACGTCTTCCTGTGCAGTTGAGACTGTTTGATTTCCAAAGAGAAATAATAATTATGATCAGCGTTGATTTAATATACAGATAGAGCAGTGTTTGAATGAAATAATGTCATGGTGAGAAATTATGTAATATTATATATATATATATATATATATCTCAAAATAAAAAGGAGACATATTTTTCTGACCTTTATATAAGTTCTGATGTTTCATTTTTGTAAACCTCAAAATCACACTGTGTGAATTTATGAATCCTATGAGTGAATTTATGAATCTTTGAGTCCTGAGCCTCAAGACCTTCTGTCTTGAAGTGAGCTGGCACAGGTCCCTACTGGAAGCAGCCTATTGGATGAAATAGCCTGTACTTTGTGGGAGAGATGCTTTCTGTTTCAGATTCTCTGGACCAAACTACAGAGCTCAGCTATTCTAATAAAAATCCAGTCTGTGGCAGTGCTGGTAGAGACTTACTTTCTCATGATCTTGTGCCATCTGTGGGCTCCCTGATCCTGGTGATAGACAGACCCTTTCACTGGGGTAAATTGATGCTGTAGGCTAAAAGAGGGAGATACTGAGAATTTCTGAAGGAGGATTTTGCAACAGCAACCCCAAGGCTTTTACTACTCCACTTTTGTCCAAACCAGATACAGGAAGCCCGGGTGCCTCTGTTTCTTAAGAAGAGCTTGGTAGGGATACTATAGCATCGTTTCTTTCCCACCATAGAAACTGTTAACTTTAAAATTCAAATCCTTTTTTGGTTACTGTGATGCCTGGAAAGGCAACTGGTGACTTCAGTGTTCGTAGAAATTAACTCATCGGAAATCCTCTCCAATGACAAAGGAGCTTTCACAGCATCTTCCCTTTTCCTCCACATACCGTTACTGACGTAAATTTGAATTAACTATTAAAGCCTTTAGATTCAGTGAACCATTCTTTGTTCAAGCCAAGGGCTTTCCCAGTTTCATACTGAACATGTTGGTGAGCCAGGAGTTCCTGCAGTACAGACAGAACCCTTTCTAGACCCAGACAGTACCACCTCACTTGCTGTGTTGGGTATCCTGTAGAAGTTTCTTTCATTTGGTCCTTGAACCCGTGAAACTGAAATTGAAACGAGGGACAGTTTGGGGTTTGGTTTCAAAGTGAGAAGGCATTTTGAGTTTTGCCCAAACTGGTGCTAATTCCTTGTTTCTGTATCATTTTTACTGTCCAGCAGTTAGTTGGGAGACTGAAGAGACCTGACTGTGTTGGCTGTTCAGTCTAAAGGGTGGTGAGATGGCAGGATCTGAAGCAGCCACCACAGCAGTGCTCAGCTCTCCCTGGTCGGCTGCTCCAGGAGTTGCTGCACAGTTTCTTCCAGGTTTCAAGCATCATTTAAACTATTTATACCACAGAAGCCAAAAACAGCAGAAGATGCTAACCTGGCTTTGCATTTCAGTCTTAATTAAGTGCAGCATAGCTTACACAGAGTTCAGTAAGGATACACGCAAATGTTTGGTTTTTATAGGAAATGGATTTGGGAGGTTGTTCCCAAGTTCAGTGCTGTTAACACATTGTGATGTTTATATTGTATTGCAGCTTAATGAGTATTAGAGATGAAAGATAGAGAAGGGCAAAGGAGCACTAGGTTAGAGAAGTGCCTACAAAACAAATGACTGGTAAGTGTGCTGTTTTGTTTGGCTCATTTGTATGTATAGGGCTGAATCAAGAAAACATACTTTATAAGGAACAGAGGAGACCTAATGTGCTGTTTATTGACACACGAACCAAGTCGGTGGTAATAAAAACAAATGAAACAGTGTAATTAGCTTTCACGTTAACAACGGGATTTAATGGGTGTTTATTGTCCACAGGGTGGTACTTAGAAACTTCCCCATAGATTCCCCATGATTAAATTACCTCCCATAGTTCTGTTGGAAAAGTATGCATTTAATGCTTGTGAACAAAGAATGCCTTTGCATTCCAGAGGTAATTTTTAGGAATTTTCTGTTGGTTAAAATAATATGGAAAATCCATGGCTCCCTAATGACCTGGAAGAGTGCCTTTTTTTGCATGTTACTCCTAGGACAAAAGTGATTCCTTGTATTATGTGTTCCCACATCCCAAGGCTTGCAGAAGGCTTTTTGCCATCGCCCCTGATCTGCTGTTTGTTGCAGGTCGCAGATTTTTGTCCAATTTGCTATGGAACCTCATAACTGAGCAAAGTGTCTTCTGGAAAAGCATCAAGGGATGGAAAAATCTGTTACTTATTGTTGGTAGCTTGTTTGAGTGATTTCACACATTCCCATCAGTTTGTGCCTAATTTGTCATTTTGCCTTTGTCTGCAAACTTTTCCCTCAGCCCCTTGACATTTGAATCTATCTAGTTCAAAATTTAAAAGAAGATTTGGATGAAAATCTAAAATTTAAACCTGTAACCAAATATTTGTCTCAGTTTTCTAGAGTTTCAAACCCATGATCTTCCTGTTTTGTAAAACCTCATCTATTCCCACTCGTTGGGTGATCTTTCCTTCAGAAGGAGTTCAGAAACAGAAACTGTGAGCACTGTCAAGTATCATTTGCAAGTATCAAATCCAAGCATTTTGTCAGTTTAACTCCAGTCTTATCCTAATCTCTGAGCTTTAGCATAATTTGGAGAGTTTATCTTCTTTGCTAACTGAGCCAAGAGCCCAACAGAGATAAATGTGCTACCAGCGCCAGAGTAATCTTGTTCATTGTGACCAAGCAACAGAAAGCAACTGTTAATGGAAGGTGGGAAATGTTTGGATAACTTGGCAGCTGCTGAGGTTTTTTGTCATTAGACGAGCAGTCTTCCTTGAGACCTGCAATGCCAGCAAGCTTTCTGTTTATCTCAGGAGGATCAGAGAAGGGGTCTTGTATATTCATCATTAACATGACACAGATGATGAATTAAGAGTAGCGAATTCTGAAAGTCTTTATAAGGGGGTTATGTTCCATCCTCCATTACTTACCCACCTACATTTCTGTCCTATCACAGCAAAATTCTTCCTGTGCCCTGTTGCATTCCTGTGGTGGAGGCTTTCTGAATGAGAAAGCTGTAAAAACAGATGAATCTCACAGGAAAGGATTTACTAAATCACCTGAGAGACGTTTCACTGGGAGTGTAAAAGAGGAGACCGTGACCACTCCTTTTTGTATGTAACTGGGTTTTGTAACAAAGTCATTTTTTCTCCCTTGCAGACAACTTCAGCAACAGCAAGCAGAACTCGAAGTGCATCAAAGAGATGGGCTGTCATCCTATGATTTATCTCAGGTGAAGTTCTCAGGTTTTTCTTCTTGTGCCTCTGATTGTTTAAAATGTAAAGCAGTGGCACATTTCAGCAAAAGCAGAAGTACATTGTGACTGTCCCTGAATTGTTTTTGTCAAATACAATGGAGGGAATTACATTCCTCTGTATTATCTCAACAGGTGCCTGTTCCAAGTATATCAGCTAATGTTCATGAGGGTGGAAAGTCTGTGGAAAAGCCTGATGCTATCTTCTCCCAAGAGAGAGATCCTAGATTTGCTGAGATGTTTGCTGGAATAACTACTTGTAAGTGAATGTCTCTGGTGTTTAATTTTTAATACTGTGTTAAGCTTGGTTACATGACGTGGAGCACAGCATCGAGAGAATGAAGAGAAACTGCATCGTGGCAGAGAAATTTTTAAGCAGCAGCAGCAGTCTTGGGAAACATTTCCTGACATTTTCCTTTAGTTGATGTTTCCCCTAAAAATGACAGGAATAAATTCAAGGAGGGAAGGACAGCTTCTGTATCACCAGAGCTACCTGGTGTTGATTCCCTTTTCGTTTCACAGGGACACTTTGAACAGTGTTCATAGATATTAAACATACTGAGCAGAATTTGCCATTTCTAAGTATATATTTTCTTTCTTAAACAGCCAGTGTGAGTTCATCTCTCTAAATAAGGCTGGATTAAGAAAGTTACCATATATTCTCAAGATAGGCCTGCAGTTTTTTATCAAACCACCAGCTTTTGCAGTGATGCTTTCAAAGGCATATGTCTTGAAGTGTTATAATATACTTGTTCTCTGGTCAGTTGATGCATCTCCAGTCATGTTACCTTTCGAGGAGTCCTTGCTCTTTTTCCCACAAATTTTAAACTTGTTGGCAAGTTCTTCTAAGAGTGATAGGAGTCTCAGAAACAGTAGGTTTGTCTATATTTCTTAAAAATTACTATAAGGACAGCCAACCTGCCACTGGGAGAGACGTAGCTAGCCCAGAGGTGTAACTAGCCCAGCCCGTGCTGCCTGTTGCCCTGACAGAAGTCATTGAGAAGACTGGCAGCTGAAGGGGTCATCTGAAATATATCTGTAGGAAACCAGGCCCATTAATTCCACTACTTGTGGAGGAACTCATTGGCTGTTTATTGTTCTTAACTGTCCTCACTGAAAAAGAGAAATTTTTACATTTGTTTTAAATAAATCAACATGCCAGTGTCACGCAGTGCACAGAGGAAACGACCCACAGGGTTTGACTCCAGGGGTGTTGGGAGATGACCTCACTGTGTTGTTTTCTTATGTCTGGCTTGGCCTTTTCAAATGGAGAAGGCATTGTAACTGCAGGATAGACCTGATACTCTGTCCTCCTGTTGCTAGGACTTCTCTGTTATTCCTGTTCATCCTTGTCTCTCTACTCTAACGGTGAAGTCAACAGCTGAGGCCGTAAAAGGGGTCTATTAGAAAGTAGTAAGACTCCAACCCTAAACACCAGAATATGTTTTTCCAGGCAAGAACATACTGCTTTGTGGCTGCCTTATTGGCTCTTTTTCAGGCAGCTCTCAACTGTTTGTGAGGAGGGGTTAGGGTTAAGGGTACAGCAAGCTGTGAAGTAGCTGGGAGGTTATATTCTTGGAAATGCCATTTCTCTTTTCATTCTTATCAATTTACAGCCTGTGCTTTTTTTGGGACATTCTCCCTGTCTGAATTTCTCATAGGAGCTGTGATCAAGGTCTCCTCTGAATGATAAAAGATGGCTCACAGTTAGAGATGAGATAGCCTGTCCAAAACCAATATTGACAAGCCTGCATGCTGCCTGCAAGACATTTGCATTATGTTGATACCCAATCTCTTTCTCTGCTACGTTCTGTAAAAACATGGGTTGACACAGCGAGGTTGCTGCCACTACTGCATGTAGTGGCCACACATCATTAGAAAACCAAGAGTTGGGAGAGGAATCCTGGCTTTACTGGTTCATGCAAGTGCTTTGAAGCCCAGGATGGTGCAGTTCTTAGAGATATTCATTCTAGAAGCAGAAACACTGGTTCTACTGGGAGATGGGCCATCATTGACCAGTACAGTGGTGGAGTTTAGAGGGGAACAGGTAAAACACACACAACACACAAAAGTTTGCAATGCTCTACGAAAGGTGAGAGCAGAGAATTGTGTGTAAAGTCCTGAGCAGGAATACAGCTGGGAGAGATGTGGGCCAGATTCAGAGGCTAAAGGGCATTCAGGGTAACTCAGGAAGGAGAATTAGCTGCTTGCGATTAGTTCCCTTTGTCTTGGCCTCATCCTGTGGCACAGACCCTGGTAGCTGCCATGGCAACTCTGCTCCACTTGAGGAATTCCAGTTCATTTAGGGCACTCTCAATTTTGCTGGCAAGTTGTTCTCAAATATCTAAAGTACCCACAGGATTTTGGCTCAGTCTGTTCCAACCCTGAGAGTTTGGTGTCCCTGCAAAGGGTGACCTTAGAAAATGGGACATCTCATGCAAGAATGACATTACTACATAAAAAGGAAAAATCATCTGCCCTTCTTAGAGAGATCCTAAGCCATTCTCAATTTTTCCTGCTTCATACACAGCATTCTCTAGATCTTATCCCCATTTCTCCCTGCTTTTTGATTTGAAAGCATAGGTTTACTGCCCAGACCAGCTGGGCAATATGTAGCTGGTAAGGAATTTTTACAAATTTCTACATTCCAAAGGAAAAGCAATGGCAGCTTTCATCAGTGGCATGCACACTCCCTCTCCGAGACTCCTGTGAAGTAATTTGAGGTGACTTTTTTCCTTGAGAAGGCAAGCTTAGAATCTTGTTAGGAACTTAACAATTTAAGTAGCAGAGAAGAGCAGGTGTGTGTCAGAGGCCTTTGGTGAGTCACACTCAGAAGGTCTCTAAAAGCTAGGGAAAACTAAAAAATACTTCTGTGACTTGTGAATTGACTGGGCCTTTTGTCCAGGAGAGCATCTTGTGAAATGAGTGGGAATCTGAAAGGAGCAAAGGGGAAAATGAGGAGGCAGACTTGATTTCTAGGCCTGTCAGGTGTGTAGCAACAAATGGTTGCAAAACCATCAGCGAGTTACAGGGTGTTTTGTTCTTGGAGGGAAGACAGAAAGTGAATAAAGGATGGTGGAGCAGACCTGGAAATTATTTTGAGAAAAGTAGTAGTAGTGAGATTTCCCTGGGGTTTGGAGTAATCCAGTGCCAGCAAATTAAGGGACCAAATGGTGCTGTTCACCCAATCTCGTTTCATTCAATTAGAGATTGATCTCCAGTTGCCACATTAAGAGTAGACTGTAAAAGTTAATGGCATCTTCTTTTGTGTGTTATTCACTACACTGATTTGTCTCACATCCCACTGGGATTCTTGCATCCTATTTCATGGCTCCCTCAAGCCACATATAAGACAGCAAAACCCTTCAGAGACCAGTGTTTTGCCTTGCTACAGCTCAGGTGTGCAAGTCTTGCGGCACTCAAACATCTGTGAGACTGAGATGCAGGTGGGGGCTGCAGGATCACCCAGGTTCTCGGGTGGTCACCCTGAGATGTGCCACCAGGCTGCCTGGGAGGTGGGTGCTCCTTTCCAGCTATCGCAGGGGAAGCAGATTGTCACCCGGTCAGGAGAGGGGCTCTTTGGCACCATTCCTTGGGTTGTTTAACCCAGCAGGGTGGGGGCCCTCAGCTGCTACCTCAGCAAACAGCCTGTGATAACAGCAGTGGCCCTGGGGGGCTTTTCCTCGTGCCAGAAACATACCCTCACCTGAGGCCACTCCCAGGTAGCCATAGAGGTGAAGGTGCATCAGGCCTTCTTCAGACTGTGTGTTGTGTGACACTCCTCCATCCTCCTGAGCAGACCTCACATCTTTCTTCCAGAAAACCTTTGTTCCCTTTCCAGTCCGTGGCTGGGACCTGTGCACCCCTCACTCCCCAGCTCAGCCAGAGCTGTGCTCTGTCTCACCTTCCCGCTCCTGCCTGCGTGGTCAGGAGCAGCTTCCAGCAGGTCCGGGCTGTGTGGCCAGAGGGCACATCCCAGTGCTGTGTTCCAGGCAAACAATGGCATTAATGAGGTATGGCCTGTGAGGAGGGTATGAGGGAGACACAAACCAGCTGTGCCTCTGGTTTCATACTGAATTGTCATACAGCCCTTTTGTGTCATTCCTAATGTGTTCCCCGGGGCTTCTTCATAAAGCTTTTAGAAGGAAAGAAAACTCCCTGCTGCCTATATATCTTGCAATTGTCTTTTAATAATTTTTCCTTCGTTTTCTCATCCCCCAAATTAATTTTTTTTCCTGTGATTTGTTTTTCTCTTGTAGCAGATAAAAAAATGATGGCCTCGGCATCCACAGCAGGAAACCAGCAGCTTTACTCACAGGGAAGCCCATTTCAGCCAGGACACTCGGGAAAGACTTTCAGGTACTCAGTCCAGATCCTGGATGTATCAGTTCCTGTCTGAGAGTGGGGGACTGCTCCCCTTCGGTCTGGGGGAAACAAAACCAACCTAAGGGTGTTCTTTATGGGAATGAACTTTGCTCTGTCTACACTTCCCTGCTTCGTGGTGTCCCAGCACTTAAACTGGGCTTACAAGCTGAGGTGATTTGGGTATCTCAGAACTATTGGCTGGTAAGCAGATACTTTTTGCTGTGATCATGTAATTGGAAAAAAGGTAAGAAGCAACAACAAGTCCTGAAGGGAAATAATTCTGAGAGGTGATGGAGCAGGCTCAGAACTCTGAGGAATATTTAACCGAGGTGGGAAGGTGCAAAGATTTGGTTTGCACTCACAGCTGTCAGTACTCCTGCAGCTTGCCTTGAAGGGAGCAGAGGGGTGCTGCATCCACAGACCCAGTCAGGACTAGGACACAGGCATGAATAGTTTTCTAAGGCAGCTTCCAAATACACATAAGGTGGCAGTTTGGCATTTTCCAAAGCATTTTTGAGTTATTCTTTTTGTGTGTGTCATTTCCAGTCACTTTCTGAGAGTGTGGTAACAGCAGTGGTATTTACCTCAGTGCCTTTTGGTATCGCTCTGGGATTGTCACACTGGAGTTTCAGTCTCCTGTTCAGACCAATCAAGGTTGTACAAGTGAGGAACAGCCATTCAGAGCCTGCCAGTTCCAGGAACTGGAAAACATCCGCAAATGCTGATTTTATTTAAACCAATGTATTCTTAAAGTTATAATTGCTAATAATCTCAGTGGGGAGAAATAAAATCCCTGTGTGTGTGTGTTTTTCAAATTAAAATCAAGAATAACTTGGGGGGATAGGGCAGTAAATTAAAATGTCTTTTATTTGTATATTGTATATTACTGGATAAGACTTGCCATCTTGGGGTTTGGCATGTGTTTTGTTTGCTTCTTTTGTTAGTTCCTGATGTTTAACTATAGCTTTTTTCCTACTACTGTTCTATTACATCAAGTAATGGCTTGCATTTCTGCCAGCATTTCCACCCTCAGTGAACTGTCCTCCTTCAATAATCTCCAGCCTGGCCCATCCAGTTACTGAGCCTGGGCAGCTTCTGGGCACTATTCTGCAGGATCCTGTTTTCAAAGTATATTTTCCAGATACAATCCAAGCTCCTCAGATGACAGGACTTGCCAGTCCAGCAGAGAAGGCAATAGGGCCAGCCCTCTCCAGCAGCTGCTCTGTGCTTCAGCCAGGTTTAGCTGGACTTTCTGGTCTACGTTTCTCTCTTGGAAGTCACAGTAAAAAATAAAAATTAAAAAAAAAAAAAAATCCACTCCACAAAGACTTAAGACTTTCTAAACACACATTTTGCTTTTAGGCAGCTTAAGAAAGCCAGAATAACAACGGCCATATTCAAATGCCTGCCACGTTTTGCTTACACTCTGGGAGGGATTCTGTCAGCCTTTTCCAAGGATTCTGATTCCTGCTTTCTCTCTGCTCAGTCCTGTTTACTTCTTTTTCCAATCTGCTCCCTTCTTTCTCTGTAAGATTGTGAAAATAAACAATAGAGAAGGCATTGGAGAAAAGAACAAACTGTTTCAGTTGATGCACAAAAGTGATTTTGTATACTGTGTCTTCATTTATATTCATTTATATGGGACGTGTAAAGTATTAAATGTTTTTATATAGAATAGCCCATTCACAGTGTGTGGTTGTGTAGATTTAGTTGCTCAAGACTTCCATGAAAGTAAAAATAGGAAGTGTAACAGTCCTTCATAGAATTTTATTTATAATTAGGAATGTCTGTCTATTTCTCTGTAGTGAAATTCAGTAATTAGGGAACAGCTAACATGTAAACAAGTTCCTTTGGAAATACTTTGTACTATTATTCCAAAGTTATTATGTTAGTTTAACTTCCTGCCTTGATTATTCTTCTGTCTGGGTACGTAACTGCATGCTCTTCTTTAGCATCAATTAGCAAAAAAAAAAAAAAAAGGAATTAAAAGCCCAACCTTTTAATATATAACACATACTTCTTCGTTTCCCAGGCAGGAAACAAATAAAGAAGCACTTATAAGTATTGTCTTTTGTGTCCATCTTCATTTAGAGTGGCATTTAAGCAAATACTTTTAAATGCTGTTGACTTCAAGCATAAATTTACGATTAAGTACCTGCTTGAATACTCTCTGCAAGCAGGTTTTTTAATGTGTTAAATTGTAAACTCATGTGGGGCTAAGTGTTTATGCACCATATGTGAGAATGATTTTATTCTTAGAAACCCTCTCAAAGAGATTACTGAAGTCTAATTAAAAATAATTTTGCCCACTGTGTCTGTGTGAACTGACATTTTAGAATGCCAGTATATTTCATCGTTTTGTGATGGTTTCAAGTAATTTTTTATCAAGACAGATTGAATAATTCATTTTAATGTTACTGTCAGCATTTCCATATCTGGAATACAGGTTGTGCATGGAGAATATGCCCTACAAATGAGGCACTGTTTCTGTTCCCTTAGTTCATCTGTGGTACACGTGCCTGGTGTGAACGACATCCAGTCTTCCTCATCAACAGGCCAGAACCTGACACAGATATCTCGCCAGCTAAACCAGAGTCAGGTGGCCTGGACAGGAAATCGGCCACCATTCCCGGGACAGGTATTGATTTAAAGTGCTTTATTTTCATGGTCATTAAAGATTTGCAATCTCTCTGCTTTTTTATGAAAGAATTAGCAAACCCCATTTATAATGATAATTTATTAGTTTGTAGTTGGAGAGGAATCAGTACCTCACTTCTGTTCCTTGGCAGGTTGTAATAATCTGAGCCAGCTGCCTTGTGTGTAACTGCACCGGAGTTTGTGCTGACCTAAAGCCCAGGAAGGTCTTTGTCCTGCATTTGTTTTATATGTGCACTGGATGAAGTAAAAGAGGACAGATCTTCTGGTTTAGTATTAAGCCTGTAAATTGAATCTTTCTGGGACCAGGACCTTGCACCCAGCAATGTTACCCACAGTTATCAGGGTCGACAGAAGGAGCACATACAAATTCAGGGCTTAGCCTCTTGCCCTTCCATTAGCACTGCACAGTTTAGCTCACACTGTGTCGTGTGCTGGAGGAAACAGCACATACCTCTATCAGGTGCTCTGTGCTTGTCAATGTTAGCCCAAAAATCACTTCTTGTTCTGTATAACAATTTAAAAAAAACTGTTTGAAATTCTGGTAGAAAACAGATAATATGAAATAGTCAAGTTTGATCTTAATAATGCTGCTCTTAATCATTCTTGGCTTCCCATTGTTTGGTAGGCTGGAATGGCATGTTGGGGTGGGCACTAAGTAACTTTTCAGCAACTGAATTGTTTCCACATCAATCTCTGATTCTTCCCAGGCCTCAGTGTGCCATGATTATCTGTCACACCTGGTTAAGGAAATCCTGTCATAACATTAACTTGTTTTTTTTTAATGATATGGAGGGTGCTGAAAATGGCTAAAAGAAATTACTTATCCCTCCTACTGCACAAATTTTGTTCAAGTCAGTGAAGTTTGTGTGTGAGTATAAGGAAATTGGAATTCATTTATCCATCTTAAATAATGTAAGATAGAGTTAAGCCTTGCAGAAGCAACATGCCATGCTCTCAATACCATTGTGGAAACCTTTAGAAATGTGCAATTTCTTAACTTGGAACTGAACGGAAGGCTTAATAGCATCTTCCTCATGTTATGTGCCTGTTGGGATCTGTTTTCATCCCCCAGCTCCCTTGCATTTTTCCAAAAATCATAGAATCATTAAGTTTGGAAAAGACCTTTACAATCATCAAGACCAACCCTTAACCCAGCACTGCCAATTCCACCTCTAAACCATGTCCCCAAGTGCCACATCTACACGTCTTTAAACACCTCCGGGGATGGTGACTCAACCTCTTCCTTGGGCAGCGTCTTCCTGTCCCTGACAACCCTTTTGGTGAAGATATTTTTCCTGCTGATAAATGATGGAAAGTGGCTCAGTGAGCACTTCTGCCAACTCCCTTAGTCCTCTTGGGTGGATCCCGTCCAGCCCCATACACAAGACACACTTGTGTGTGTCTGATTGACCTTCTCCCCTTGGACAGGGAGGCTTCATTCTGTTCCCTGTCCCTGCCTTCCAGGCAGAAATAGCTTCACTTTTATGCACTGATTGCCAGTAACAGTGCACATCATTAGAGGCATCCAGAGATATAGTCACCTTTAATTTCTGTGTGTGAAATTGGTTAGCCAGTGAGTTTTTCTTGGGACTTCTGCACTTGTTCATATTGTGGGAAATAGTTTATAAGCATGTTTTGTCTGTAACACTATATGCTGTTGTAGCACATGACTTTGGATGAGACACTTCACCCCCTTTGTGTGCATGTTGTTTGTGTCTCAAAGCAGCCTGCAGTATTTAATAATTTGTGTAGCATTCTTGGAGGTCCTATGATGAAGCCACTGTGTAGGTGAAATGGCAGCAAGTTGGTTTGTAGTACCCTTTCATTAACTCAGCTGCCCAGTGAAAGCAGTGTTAAGACTGTTTCTTCCCATCTCCCAGGGCTGGTGATTCACCCTCCTAAGCATTTTACAAGGCAAAATTACTGCTGCCTGTATTTTATAGGCAGGGAGAGAAGGGAGCTCATTAGCACTGAAACTTCTTTGGCCATTTACTACCAAGCACTGGGGACTGGTCATCTGAGAACTGGGTGTATTCTGCAAGATGTTCAGATAACTGTGACTTTACTGTGGCACTGCAAAATCAATACACCTGGAAAATAAACGTGAATTCTTTATATGTGTTCAGTTTGAGATTCATCTTTGTAATAGATGTGAAGGAAATCCTGGTTTTCCAAATGGCTCTGATATGGAGTACATGTGACTTAATCAGCAGGAGAGCTGTAAGTGTTGGTTTACAGTCTGTTGTGTTCCTTCTGCAGCAGTAAGCTGGCTTTGACAGAAATGAAATACGGCTGAGACAGGAAAAACGTGCTTGTTCACATCTAGAGTTTATGTAGTCTTCCCTTTTTGTTGTTAAAAAGTGATTCTACTGCTCTGTTCCTCAACAGTAAAACTTGTCCTTTTTTTTTACCCTTTGTTCCTCAGCAAATTCCATCTCAGTCTGGCAAGGCTCAGTCATCTCCCTTTGGGATTGGAACAAGTCACACCTACCCAGCTGATCCGTCATCATACAGCCCCCTTTCCAGCCCAGCCACCTCTTCTCCAAGTGGGAATGCCTACTCCAGCTTGGCAAACCGAAGTGCAGGGTTTGGTAAGTTTTAAATGATGTAACACAGAAATGCACATGAAAATGAAACTCTCCACTATTAACTTCATTAAAAATCCTCCAGCCTGGTCTTTTAGTGGGTCGGTTGGGAAGACCAGGTGATGAGAGGGTTTTGCTTTCTCCTGCTGAGTACAGGGAACAGAGCTGACCTGTTCCCTCTACGCTGCACCTCCTCCACATCCAACGCACTTCAGAATATTGTGGCATTTTATGGCATGAGGGAAATTTTCTTATTTTTTCCCAGTAGATGGTGTCATAAAAGAATCGAAGTTGCTTACATGACTAGCACAAATCCTCCCTAATTGTGGTCTGCAGGTACAGTTTCATTTTACTTCTCAGGAGAACACTTAAAGTGGCACAAATTTGCGTTCTGTTCATTTTTCACCTTTTCTGACGGCATGGCAGCGTCCTCTTGCACAGAGATGGCGTGTTGGAGTTTGGCTGGAAATGGGATTTGTTTTGTACTGCTACTGGCCTAATCAGAGTAGGTGCCATGTTTTGAAATAGTTTTCTTTTCCCATTACATGGTATTTAGTGGCTTTCAGACCATGACTCAGTGCAGAAAGCTTACCAAGGGATAACAACCCCTTGCTAAGCTCTCTGCACTCACCAGCAGAATAATATTGAGGAGTAAAAAATACAGTTGGTCCATCCGTGATAAATACACGTGAATTCCGTGAAAAATGTCACTGGCTGGTAATAATGTGCAATTCCAAAAAGCACAGGTAGCAGTGAGCTAATGTGTGTCATTTTTCCCCTGTCCCTTGGGAACAGAGCTGGTGCAGACCCATTGCAGATCTGTGCCCAGAAAAAGTGCACTGAAAGGGAACTCTTCCCACAGAGCTCATTTCTGCCTCCATTTCCATTTCCACCAGGCCTTGTACATTTGTTTATGAGACAGACTTGTATTTCAGGCCTAAGCTACTTGGCAAGAACCCTTTCACCTAATGAGAAACATCTCCTGACCTACATCAGCTTGGATGCTATTAATAACAGCCGTCACGGAGACGAATGGCTTCGACCGCCGACTGGCTGCGGCCGCTCTGCTGAAAAAGAAGCATCATTTGCTTCACTGAGTTAATTTCAATGTATTGTTCTGAGGGGGGTGGGGGGGAAAACAAACCCACCAAACTTGCAATCTTTCTTTTAAAGGGTAGCTTAGATGAATTTTATTTTGGCCCTTAAAATGGCTGCAGGGTTTCTGAGTCAGCTGAATTACTGGTTGTGGTAACGTCAGTAAGGGAAGAGCTGTAATCATCTACTTCTGATGTGATAGAAATACATCACTACAGCCTGTTTACTTTCCTGTAAAATGTTCCCTTTATCTGTGTTGCATGGCTTAGCTGGTAGCCAAAAGGACTGGATTGAGCAGGTGTTTCTGTGTTTTCTGAAGCCATGAGTGTGAGTAGTGGCTGGTCTGACATGACTGAGTCTGGTTATCGAAGACTTGACATAGCACATGTGTGGAAGTTTGGCACAGGAAATTTGGCACCCTTGGCAGAGGACACTGATGATCAGGAAGAAGCAGATATACACAGCTTGATTCTCTATAGTGAGAGGGAAACAGGCAAAAATACTTGGAGTACATATATAAAAAAACATTAAAAAAAAAAAAAAAAGAAGAAAAAAAGAGGAAAAAAATGTTTGGAGAAAAAGCACAAGCTTTGTGGCAAGCTTTCTAGATTGCTAATTCTTAGAAGGACATACTGTAAATAACGGAAGGAAAATTATCCAGAAATATTACACATACAGTGCCAGTCTGTAGAAATACAGGGTGAAATGAGTTCAGCTTAAGCATCATCCATGACTGTACTCCTGAAAAATGTATCTGTAATAGGTAACCAACATGTGTTTTACCTGGTAGACTATTCAGAAGAAATTAAATCTCCCTGAAATCATAATTTTAAATGTATTTGCTATAAAACCTTGCTGTTTGTGTTACTCTGTGAAATTTAAATGGCCTCAGACTTTTAAGAAACTATCACCATAGGAACAGGATGATAATTTGCTGTAAATGCTGTGTTAAATAAATAATTTTGCATCTTTAATGTTGGATAGTCCAACAAACAACACTGCATTTAATGCAGTAATGCTTGCATTTAATACTGTGAGCCTGTTGTCTGTTGATCTCCCTGTTTCTACATCTGCTTAAAAAGTCTTACATCTGCTTACATGCTTCTTAGATGGGTAGGAAACTGCGCACCCACTGCTCTGCAACAATTCAGTCTTTTAAAGAGAGAGAGCATTCAGGTGGTGCAGTTTGGTTTTTAAGTGAGATGGCGAATACTCCTTGTAGTGATTAAAAAATGTTGGGGCCATGCTTAAAAATTGTCTTCCCGTGCCTGGCTTGTGGTGTCGCTGTGCATTCTGCTCTGGGCAGTTCACCTGCCAGGTTGTGCAGCCGTGGCCCTGAGCTTTGCTCCTGGGTTGGCCCCCACTCTGCCATCGGGGCTGAAACTCCTTTTGGCTTCCACCCTGCAGGGCTCGTGTCCCTTGGTGTCTTTCCCCAAGACTTATTTGCAAACCCAGGCACTGATGGATGACACCTCAAAGCAGGCAGGTGTTTTGGAGGAGCTGCTGTCTGACTCGTGCCCTTTCTCCCCCGTCCAGCTGAAGGTGGCCAGAGCAGCAGCCAGTTCCAGGGGAGACCCTCCGAAGTCTGGTCGCAGTGGCAGAGCCAACACCACAACCAGCAGAGCGGTGACCAGCACTCGCACCCGCAGCCCAGTCAGACCGAGGTGTTCCAGGTAAGGAGGGTCCAGCGAGCCCAGAGTCCCCCTGACAGCCCCTCACTGCTGAGTTCAGAGCCGTGGCCCTCAAGGGTGAGGGTGCAGCAGGGCTTGGGGCAGTTCCCTCCTGCTGGGTGCTGTTAGCTGGCCTGAGCTACTGAGCCGGTTTTGTTTCCTGCCACAGAACAGCATCTTTGCTGATTTAAAATGCTATTTCTCCATCTCTTTGCACTCTACACCTAGGGTTCATGTCTTTTGCAGAGAACCCAAGAAATACTCCCAAGTGGAGTGTCTCTTTTATCCTGGCCTTTAACATCCCAGCGAAGTCCAATTAGACATCAGTGTGCTGGTCTTTGGTAGTTCAGCCAGGAAAGATATCAGATAGGTGGTAAACAATCCTTTTTTAACTACCTAATTTTGTAATATTACCTTATAATTTTGAGCCTTCACTACCAGTGGAGTAGGACTTCCTAAGTTAACTAATAACATCGCAGTCCTTGTATAACTGGTTTTAAATTAGATCAAGAAGACAGTTTCCAAGAAAACAATGCAGATAAATGCAGGAAAGACGATTCAAGCCCCAAGCAAGGTTTAGAAGTGGGGCACCTCATTATCTTTTAGAAAGTAAATTCACCTGCAGGACCAGGCTCATGCACAGTTGCTTGCAGGAATGCTGCAGAAGAGATGTTCACATGGAAATATTCCTGTGTGAATGAACCATTGCTTCACACAGAAACAAATAACAGCACCACATCTGGAATAATTATCTGTCTGCCTGCTTTTAGCTCACGGCCCAGGCAAGATTAATCTGCTGCATCTCTTTGCATTAGTGAAGTTTGATCGCTTTGCAAGTACTTTAACCCAAAAGGATTGTCAGGGGGATTCCAGTGGAGCTGGAATCCAGTGACAACATGGTTTGATGGCCAACAGAGACACTGGGTGGGGTCTTGCTTGTGTCTCAGGCGAGTGCTGTGTCCTAGTAAAATTCTCATTAAATTAGTGGGAAGAAGGACCAGGAGTGAAAAGGAGAGCTGGGCTCACCTGCAGAGCTCTTGGAGGCGAGTGTGCAGTGGAGGGAATTAGGGTAGTAACTGGATGTGATGAGAAACTTGGATGAGCTCAGTGCAGAGACCTCCAAGAAGCTGCTTGGATTGTTTGTGCTCAAAGCCAGCCTGGAGTTAGCTGGGCATAAGGAGAGAGGCACACTTGAGAGGGGACCCTGCTGGATCTGTACCTGAGGAGAACTCATTGTAGAAGCCCCAGAAATGAGAGGCAGCAGAAATGCCTTCAGAGATGGAAAAGTAAACAGATGGGGGCAGCTACAGCCTCCCTTTGACTGGGAGAGAATGTGGGAAAACATTAAATAAGTGCAAGTTTTGGTCAGAAAATGAAGGCCTGAGCTCCCTGGCAGCTCAAACACTGCCAGTTGTGTTCACAAACACATCAACAGGGATACTACAAAGACCACAGATGAATTTTAATCAGTCTTTATTTTTTAATCAGTCTTTATTTTGGGGTGACTTCCCAGTACGCAGCAGCTCTCTGAGTTACTCTTTCACAGAGCAGACCCTGTGAGATTTCTTGTTTTTTTTTTGGTTTTGTTTTATTGTGAGGATAATGAGCCATCCCTGGCAAGACTTGGCTTTGCAGTAAGAGGTTATTATTGTAAGGACTGACAGGAAAAGCAAGCATAAACTCTGGTTTTCCCAGCAAGGGATATCTTTTCCCTGTGGCTTCGGTCTCCGGCTGAGAGGAAAGGTTGAGTATTTTTTGAAGCCTCCTGCAGAGACCTCACTTGGCTCAAGACACGTGGGAGCAATTACCATGAAATCCCATTTCTCCTGAGAAGTTCCTGCTATTTCCTCTGCTTCTGTACATTCATTAAGGCTGCTTGGGCACCCTGTGAGCTGGGGAGCTCTTCCAGTCTGGAAGGAGTAAGGGGCAGCTCAAATGGGCCTCATCCAGAGGAGCAGTCCAAAACTTCTACCCTGCCTAAGTCCCAGCTCTTGCTCAGAAACACTCCAGCAAACCATAACTAGCACATAAACCTTAGCCTGGCCCCCTGTACAGGTCTGGTTTTTACCTTATTCATCTAAACTTGGCCTTTTCTGGCTTTAGACTGAAAAGATGAACAGGAAACAGTTTGTGTCTGGATAATGTGTTAGCAAGTGACACTTCACTTTGATTTTTCCTTATCGTGCAGGACATGCTGCCGATGCCGGGGGATCCGACGCAGGGCACTGGCAATTACAACATTGAAGATTTTGCTGACCTGGGCATGTTTCCACCATTCTCTGAGTAGCTTGCAAAGCAGAAATGGAAGTTCTTCTCCAAGGCCATTTCAGTGTAATTTTGGCGCTGCTTTTTCTGTGTTGCATTTCTGTAGAAGCTACTAAACCAGAAGACACGTTTCTCATGTTTCAGATAGTGATGTAGGGCTTGCTCTCTCCTCCTTGGGGTGCATCAGTGCCGGCAGAGGAGCTCCAGCACTTGTTAGTGTTCACTGACAGCTCCATTTTTTTTATTATTTTATTTTATTGTCATCTACCTCAGAGATGAAAAACTTTGCTTGATTTAAAAAAAAAAAAAAATCTCTGAGTCTTAAATATTTGAATGTGAATGACACCTAATATTTCCTTTGAATGGTAATTTTTAAATAGATAACAAAGTAACAAAGACTAACAGAGAAAAGGTAAGGTCATGTCTTGTTACAGTGCCTACCGCTTGATTTCGATGCCTTGCTTTAAGCTTAAGTTTCTGAAAGCAGACGCAATATTCTGTTTTCTTTGATTCTTGTAGTTTTTAGGTCACTTTAAATGTTGAGATTAAGCAACATAATGTAGGCCTCTCTCACCAGAAGATTCAGCTCTGCCTTTTCTAACTTAAACTTGAATGTGTGTACATTTTGGTACTTTATGTATATCTTGTGCTGTATGAAGTGATTTCCTGTACTGGTTTCTTTTGCCTTTGCAAAGGGTCCATTCTGGAGTGTACTGAAAAGTTTGATGATGTATGTGACGGATTTGAATATCGTGAGAATCTCCATCACTTCACATAGGTGTTCTTACTTTTAATTCAGGTGGTTCTCTGAATGTTCAGAACAAACATTTACTTACATAAGCTATTAGTCTGGTTTTGCACTGAATTGAGGCCTATAACCTTGTACATTTCTCACTGGCTGCTTTAATTTCTACTGTTCTTGCTTTCTCAAAAAAATTGCCTCGTAAAAAATGACTGTAAACACATCGAGATTGCGTTTTCTATATTAGCTGCATTTCCTTTCTGTGAAGTACTTTTTTATACTGTGAAACCTCACATTTTAACAGTGCAGGGTGGTGGCCTGTTACTAGGAAATCATTCAAGCTCATTTGCTGCAAGCAGTGAGATGGTTTTGTAGTGTATAATTTTTTTAGAGTGAGTTGGTAGTAGATATCGATTGGACTGTTGTCCACTGCGTACACAGTGATAACTTGAATTTCTGCTTGGATTCCCAAGCAATTGCTTCTGTTAAACCCTTTTAACCCTATTCTGTTAAATATGGGATTTTCAGCTTACCAAGTATGTTGAGGACTCTTGACTACTCCGAATGCCATATGCTTTTCTGCAGAGGTAAGTTAATCATCTTCCTCTTCGGTGAGTCACCTACCATATGTCTTCATCAGAGATGTGGTAGGAAGTGTTTTATTAAATATTTCATACGCATGATGAGTTACAGAGGTTGGATTGTAAGGTCAGAATTTTTATCCAGATCATTTCTTCTCGAATGGGTGGAGAAAGAATCGCTCACGAGGACAAGAAACCCTGAGATCCCACGTGCAGGTTGTTCACGACCTTTGAGGTGGGACAGTGGTAGCCAGCCTTTGCAGAGGAGGAAGGGAACAGCTTCCCTCAGCTTTTCCATATTCAAGGGCCACCAGGGACCTTGAAACAGCAACCCCAGGGCACAATCCCATCCAGAAGACCTCAGTGTCTGCAGTAACTCTTAGATCTCACCGCACTAAGCTCTTCCTTCTTGTAGCTCCTCTTGAATTCTGGGGTGCCTCTGACAGAGGGCATGGTGCACATCACCACAGTCCCTCCTGTCGGGATTCTGTCCTGGGAAGCAGGCAGGCCCTGCCCCACAGCCCACTCTGGCCATGCATGGCCCAGGGACACAGCTGTCACAGTTGGCCATGTGGTGATGTGCCCATCTGACACTGCTTTCCCAGCCTTCTCCGAGATCAGCGTGTAGGTTTCAGTATCCAGTAAGAGTCCTTCCTGGTACTTCTCTCGCTAAATCTGGGACCAATCTCTTACCCTGTGAGCAAGTGGGGTTAGGGACTCTCTTTGTAGAAATTTTTGTATATCTCTAGATGCAGTACTTGAGAGGCCTCAGATCTCCTGGTCTGTACCTGCCTCACCAAATCACACTGAGAACAAACAAAAAACCTCATATCTCTTCTCTCCCAGAGATCAGGAAAACACCTTCTTAGGTGAGCAAGCCATGCTCTTACCCACTACTCTTTTAAGCACACGAATGTTTATTCTCTCGGAGCCATCTCCCTTTCCCTCATGCTGCTGGGATCCATGAGTGCTCATGGAATTGGACAGGCAAAGCTCTGCTGCCCCAGAGTGAAATTCAGTGATGTCTGTAAGAGGTGCTTGGATGCTGCGCTGGCTGAGCGAGGCACTCAGTGTCTGTACAGGGACTTGAAAGGGACTGATCACGAGGGAGGGGGAAGTAGGTTATCAGTTTGTGTCTCTGCAGAGAAGATGCTTGACATGATAAATGTAATTTCTTCTAAAATTTCTTAAAAACATTCCTCCGTAAAGTGAAAAATTATTTGAAGAGATGCTGTTCCTCTGTTTTATTTTACCCAACAAGCTGCTTTAAGTATGTTTTTTATTTACATTACTTCCTGAATTAAGTTTTAAAAGAGGGTTTTTAAAGTAATTTTTTTTCTCCTGACCTCAGCAATGGTAACTTCCTCAGTGTATCATGGTTTTTATACTACTGGAGAAGGCTTCTTGTGTACAGAATTTGGTTGTGCAGTTAGAATTGCACTGTTAGCAGAATTTCAAGCACATCTCTTTTTTTGTTTTGTTTTGTTTGTTTTTTGTTTTGTTTTTTTGTTTTGTTTTGATTTGATTTGTTTTGGTTTTTTTTAAATACAGTATTATTTTTTTTAAGTCAGTATGCCTGAGGGATCAGAGCATGGACTGCTTCTTACCTTGTGGACTACTCCTGCCTTTCTGGTGGGGAAAGGTGAGGGCTCCTCTGTTAAGGGCAGTCTGGACAGTGCCAGGTTTGGGGTTTCCCCGTGAGCCATTATCACCCCCCATTTCTGTAGTGCCATCCTGAGCCAGCGCTTTATTCTTGGCATAGAATTCCTCCCCTCCCATTCCTGGCCATCCCATCTCTGCAGTGCTCTCCCAGCCTGTGTGGGAGGCACTGGGTTGCCATTCCTGAGCCAGCAAGGAGGGAGCAATTAATGAGCTTAAAGAGTTTGGCAACTTTGTGCTTCTGCCCAAGCAAACGATCCACTTGAGCCTTCGCTGCCGCCGGGCGCGTGCGCTGCCCTCGCTCCGTCGTGTCCGTGGCTTGCTCCTCTCCAACAGCCCCGCCCCAGGTCTTGTGGCTGACAAAGCTGTGTAGCCTTGGCTGTGCTGTATCTTTTTGTCATGTGTTCGGTTACTAAAGCAAACTTACTTATATCCTATAGCTGAAGTCATAAGGTGCATTGGGAATGCTGATGTTTTTATTACGTGCCGTCGGTGTGGCTTTGCTGGCACTTTCGCTTCCAGTTTCCAGAACTTCACAGGTGGTGGATTTCTTGTTTCTTTTGTGGTTTTTTTAAGCTGGAAATAAAGCCGTGATTTCTGATCAAACTGTTGCAAACACATTGTTTCTTGAAAGGGAATCTTTTGGGGTTTAAACTAAGGGAGCAAGAAACTGCAAATAGTGATGGTCTGGGTGAGTTATTTCAAAGAGCAGACATGTAGACTGAGAAGATTTTAGCTACTAAAATATTTATATTCATTTATTCAGACAAGAAATCCTGTTTAACAAGAGGGATTCCATCACATTACTTGTGCAAGTGCTACTGGCAGTACCTACGGTGATGCTTTAACCAGATAGTTCCATTTGTAGCTTTGTTGCCTTTTCTTTTGAAGTACAGTATGAAACTGTAAATACTTCTTGCAGAACTGCCTTTTTAACTCTTAATTACTTTTGGCACAGTGTTAAATAGTGTTGGATTTACCCAATTGCTATGACATATATTTTTATACATAGGTGTACTCTTTTTTCGAGAATAATACAGCCATTTTGTCATTAATGCCTTATCGGTGTCATACTGCTGTTGCTCTTTGTTTGCAAGGTATCGAGTGGACTAATTTCTAGTTCAGAGATTTTCACTTTTCCTGGCAGTGCTCAAGTTTGGCTTCAGGTGACTTTTGCCAGAGTCCCATTTTTCACAGTTGTTAACTGTGAGAAGAAGAGAATGTGGGCTTGGGTTTGTTGCTGTTATTGGAGCAGAGAAAAGGTGATGGCATCTAATTGTCTTTAAAAGGTCAGTCTTTTCCAGAGTGCATTTCATGAAACTGATGACTGTGGGCACTGATTACTTTGTGTAGAATAATGATATGAAAAAAAAAAAAAGGAGAGAAAAGAAACAAAAAGAAAACAACTCCAAAAATGGGCTTCTGCCATTGTTAGGCACTTGGTTACGTATCTGTTTAAACTCTTCATATTGATGTGAAATTGTGCTGTGGATAAAGTGTATTTTGTACTTCTGAATGTTCTATATTTATGACTAACAAGTACAGAATCAGTTGTGTGTATGTATAACTAATAACTGCCTTTTTAAATTTCATTAAAATAAAAATGTCATGAGCTGTTGTTAATTCCTGTCTTTCTGTAAATAAGTAAAATATACTGTTGGGAATTGTCAAGTAAGAAATAACCGTGAATTATAAGATTCATGCCAGAAATCAGAAGATGAATCATTGATCGTTGTCTTTGAAATCTCCTCCTGCACTGTGTGGTTGGGGACAGGATGTTCCCCTTTTATCTCTCTTGTAAAGGCTGTCCAGAGGGAGCAAGAGAGGAATGATAGCTTGAGAGCTCAACTTTTAAAAGAAGTTCCAGAAAAACATTAATTCATGGCCTGTTTTGCTGAGGTGTGTGAATCGGTGTCTGTATTGTACAGGGTTTTATTAGAGCACAATTGATTTAGAGTTAATTCATGGTCTGTGGCAATATTTATTCACTCCCTGGGGTGGTATCACAGTGGTTTCCTTGTCCACCTTTTTGTCCCATTGTTCAAAGTTGAAAAATAACTTGTATCCTTCCCACAACCATTCTGGTGACCTTTTCAGCCTTTCTTATGCAAGGCACATTTGCCTTTCACTGCGGTTCTTCGTTGCATTTATACTGTATTTCTTTGTCAACTTGGTAGCTTGTGAGCAGGATTTACCTTTCCAATAAATCCAAAAAGCTGATGACTGGACCATGGCAGGAGCTGAAGATGCTGTGCCCCAGGGCCTGTGTTCCTGGTGTGGGGTAGGTGGTGTTTTCACAGCTCATACTTGGTTTTCAGGGCTCTGCCTGTGGAGAACGGCCGTGGGCTCTGCTGGGCCCTGATGGAAACTGGGCCACGGGGATGGGCTTAGTCATACTCAGCCTCCACCCACCCTGCTCTGTTGGGCTCTACTCGCCACTTGCTCATCCCAAAGACAGAGGTTGGTCCATGAAAATGTGCCATTCGAGCTGTTTTGCTGTGAAAATTGGGTTTTCAACAAAGTGATGTTCTTTTGGCATTTGCTCAGATGTTTGTGAGCATCTTTGATGAGTGGGCATGTGCCAGACCATGAGTCCCATTTGGAAATGCAGCTGCCTGGCAGCTCTTTGGTGCTTTTCCAGTGCATTTTAATAGGCTCTTAGTTGCTTTTGAAGAACATTATCCACACAGGGCGGGTGTTGCATCCATGACAAGCAGGGTACACTGGGGTTGGGATGTTCTAGGATCCCACCTAGCATTCCCTTCGTATAGATCATCACTAAATGTGCTCTCATGTGCTAAATCAAGTGTACTTCTGGGCACTGTGGTGACAGCTGGGTGTGGAATTGCTGGGAGATATGAATTCTGGTGTGGATTCTGGTTTTGGAGATGCTTGATGTGGAATGGAGCCACATGTTTGGTTACCAGGAGTCACTGCAGGTCAGCAGGGCACCATGATAGAAATCCACACGGTCTGGTGTGCAGGAAAGAAATGGAGCTAAACCTCACTGTATCCCTGCACTAACTTAAACTGGCACTAATGACTCATAACAACAGGCCAAGTCTTCATTATGATGATAGAAATACATTTTTCTTAATTTTTCCATGGGAGCTAATTCTTAACCATATTTCCATCATTATACCGTCATAGTTCAGGATGTATTACTCATTTAGTTTTCCCAGTTTTTTCTCCCAGTTGGATGTAACAGAGATGGATGCAGGTTGAACTTTTCCATCATGTTTTACCAAGTTTCATCATATTCCTGGTTGGGAATACTTGGCAGCATCTTTCTTCAAACTTTGTGGTCTGTCCCACATAAAATGAAATGGAGTCACTTGAGCTGTATTAATGGATGTGGGATCAGGTCCAGAGGTTGCTAGGGCATCTTTTCATTAGCTCTGGAAAAAATTATCTTCTAATAATAGACTGGCACTAAATACTAATATACAAAATGTGTCATTGGGGACCCAATGGAAGAAAATGTCAACCCAAGGCTCACACCTGGTTGATGCAGCAGTGCAGAAGTGGCTTTTGCATGTAAAAAATACAGTGGCTGTACACACGCTGCTGTAATTACAAAATGTGCAGGCAGAGCTCAGAGACCAAAGAAAGCCCCAACTGCAGCTTGGGAGCCTTCCCCAAAGCACACACCCTGTTACAGGAGACTGAATCCCCCAAAGCTTCAGTGTGCTGCTGCCTCTTAGAAATAGCAGGTTCCTCTTTTAGTGAAGAAGGTGAAGGTTTAGATACTTGGAATGCTTTTAAAAACAAGAGGTCTTGAAACATAGGAGCAAGTGCAAGGTTGAACTACTTTGGTGCACCCTGTCATCCCAAACATGTTTTGGGTGGCTCTCAGAGCCTCCCCACAGTTGCTGCCCATCCCTGGCTGCTGTGGCCAATGATCCTTCCCTTGGAGCCCAAAGCAGTTCTGTGTGTGGCCCTGCTGGGAAGCGGCTTCAGTCTGCAAAATAAAATCATAGTATAGTTGTTTTCCTGTTAACACTGGAATTACTGGCCTCACAGATCCAATGCCGCTGAGGAGCAAGGATTTTGAAGACCTGAGCTTGCCTTGTTTGAGGCCTCCACACAAGAGAAAACACTGCCCTGGTACAATGTAAACACAGCCCACTCTGCCTTCACCACAGTGTGTGTAGCAGGGGGCAAAGGCTGGATCATAATACTTTCCATTTAATGAAGGTGTTTGTCCTGTGGAGTTATCTCAGAAACAGCACTCTTCTCCCTGGATTTCCTTTGCTGCATGTACTTTCAATGTGTCCAGAGCCAAACGTGTGTGACAGCCCAGGGATACCAGAACCTGACTCACAGAGGGGAGGTAAGTGCTATGGGATTCCTTCTTTTCTTTCACACTCACTCAAACAGATGCCATTAGGTTCTGGTTCATGTCCTTTGGAGCAAAAGTCATCAGGAGGCAACACTGTAAAGTGCTGGTGATGATGAATTAAGTTACTTTTTATTTTAAGATGTGACTCTTGATGGGTCCATCCCATCCTCCCTCTCTTACCTGCTGCTGGTGTCTCCAGCCACCAAGAGAGCATA